AAGTAGATAAGTACGATGAAAAGAGTATTTCTGTATTAATATAATGTATTATAGACATTTTTATTTATTATTTTTATTCTAGTAGAAGCTTTTGTTTAGTTGGTGGGTTTTTTTTCCGTGATTCTTATTTGGGTTTGGAAATGAGTGCAGTTCCATATTTTTTTCTGTCAGTCTATGTTTGGCCAAGTTAAGTATAAATCTGTAAATAACAATTTATTCATGCCATGTTTTTTAAATTCATAAATGTTAATGTCAATTTCCCTAATATTTATGAATTATGAAAACAGTTTGAAAAAATATAAAACCCCCTGACACTGCCATCCTGGATTATTAATTGTATAAACCTACAACTTTTTCATAAACTCTTGTATTAATTTGTTTTCAGCTATCTAATCAACTAGTACCAGAGAATGTGTTTAGCACTGGTTTCTGTGCTATGCAACTAACTAGATGCATGAGTTTTATTGCTGATAAAGAAATATAATTATAATATATACCACATTACTATATGGACTATTTTTTGATAGATCCACTGAGATGGGTAACATGAAATATTTGTTTTATATAAGGAAATGTACAAAAATTAAACTTTACATTAGATACTTACTATCTTTTAGGCATAATAAATATAAATTTTTTTTTATAGGATTATTTTAATTAGGATTTTGTTTATGAACACTTAAACTTCTTAAATACAGAATGATATTAGATACATTATTTTCGATTTTAATTTAGAAGGTATACATATACAAATTACAGATAGGTTCATAAAACATACTCACCCCATTATTATTTTAATTATATAATTTTGTACTAAAATTTTGTCCAGTGGCGATACAAAATTCTATAGTCAAATGAGAAACTGGGAGCGCATAAAAAGTCCAAAAATTGTCAGGACCAAATTTTTTTTTTTATTGTACGTGTATTTTTGCAGAACCATATTTTAGCTGCTAATATTTTAGACAACAAATACGGTTGGCGACCCACTTTATTTCTTAACTGTAAATTAATTAAATAATTAGATAACTGGATGATATTTTTTGAAAAGTTGATGCACCAACTGCATTCAAAATTTGAACAAGTAGTATTTCAGTTATTAAAATGTTTATATAAAGGAAAATGTTCTCAAAAATGGATTTATAAAAATATAAAATAGATGTAATATTGGAACTAATATTTATTATAAGTACTTGGACCATTTTTATAAATTAAAAATATTTATAGATTAATATGAATTACTAAAATTTTCAAATTACAATAGCCGCCATATCTTCAAAACCCATTATACCCATTATTCTTAGTATTAGTACATAAAATAAAATAACCCAAAAACTACTCGTTCAAATTTTGATTTTTAAATGTACCATCCATTAAACAGTTACAGAAAAGGGTTGTCATAAAAAAAACCAGAAGTTTTTATCTTCACATGAGTCTTCTTACTTAGTACAAAAAAATCTCAAGAATTTACAAATAAATCAAATTTTAAATAACTGCATTATTTAAGAAGAAAAAGGGAGATCAGCAGGCTTGGTTAACCTCTATGTAAATATGACCTTGAACGAAATCATATATTACAAACGCATAACATTTTATAAAGTTATATTAGTTTTTATAAGTTATACTAGTAAATAGTTCTTAATTGGATAATAAAAAGCGACACACACACATTAAGGTACTACTACACACTATCACAGGGGTTGACCATATGGTCTGTGTTCACTGTTCAGAATTGTTATGTTATTCATCAAATTAAATAATAAACAAAATGTTCTCTAGTATAACCATATGATAAAGTATTAGACTATCTTTTCAACTACTTTAGTGTATTATGGTAAGGGTAACAGAATACATTGAGTGTAATAGTACCTTAAGTATTATAACCCACATTAACAAACCATTTTATATTAATGTTTTATTAGTGAAATGGTAGGTATGAACCCAACATAATATTGTATAATGATTAAAGAAATGTAAAATATAATGGTTTAATTTATATGAAACGAGTGATGATATTTAATTTTTAATGTTATATAAGCAATTTATTTTAGAATTGGTATACTGGTATCACAAAATCAACCCTACCACTCACTCTCAATTGTACATTTGACAAATACCAATAACAACAATTGTAAATTATTGTTAAATAAATAACAGTCTAAATCATTATATTATTAAAAAAATATGTACAATAGGAAAAGTTTGATAAATTAATGCACCTATAGTACATAATAAATGAAATTTACAAAAGGAAAAATACATTTAATACATACAACTTAGGTAAGTATACATAATTATTATCATTCTGAACATGATTTATAATTCAGAACTTTGAACATTATTTATTTATAGAACTACTCTTTGGATTTGTCTGGTCCACAAATTACGTAAGAAACAAGCAGATCAAAAAAATAGTGTATAGATAGATAAACACAAATTAAGTTTTAACAATAAAACAGTTCAATTTAATTATGAGAAATAGGTTAGTATTTAAAAAAATAACTTAAGTCAGTAATAATTATAAATCATTTAAAAACCTCGTAAGTTAAAAATGTTTTTAATTATTAATTTTAGATGAAACTAAAAGGGTCCTGTTTAATAAAAATATAAATAACTAATAAAACCATAAGTAGTTAATCAATCTATACACATTTTTTGCTACATTTTTACTTTCCTAAATTAATTAAAATAAATAATGTGAAAAAATACTAGACCTGTCAGACGTTCATAATTAATTTATCTTATATAATTTCAGCAATGCCAAAGTTACATACTTAGTTGGATACCAACCATTATTGTAATATCTGAATGAAATTGTAGCCTACACATTAACACTACTACTTAACTTTAAGTTAAAAAATTAGAAGATAATGACTCAAATAATGTATTTGCATATATTTTTGTCTTTGGTGAAAATTGTTGAGATGATATAATGATATAATAACAATATAATTAAAATAAATAACAGATATATGTATTTGTATGCAATATAAATATTGATTAAATCAATGCTATTACTTCATTATAAGAAGTTTTGATAGTACAACCGCCTATTAACTTGTTTTTAACTAGTAAGTCAGCTTTATTGTTATAAGAAAATACCTGTTCTAAACTGATTTGGTTTTATTTGGTGTCTATTTAATAAAAATTGTAGACTTATTATTAATCATAACATTTAGGATATTGTAAGTATAAAGAGGATGTACCCTTTCATTGCAAAAATATACAAAATAACTCTGATGAACGTCAAAAGGCCAAAATAAAAATGTAATGCTTAATAAAAAATATTTTTAATTTATACTCGGTCTTAATAGTAGTTTTACAATAACATTAGTATAATATTGTATGATTACTGGATACAGAGAACAATATGTTTAATTATTTCCAAAGTTTAACCTTGGTCAAATTTATCTATAATAATAAATATTTGGTCTAATTGTTTTTAGTTAAGAATTGGAGGCAAAAAAATTATTTTTATTTTCATTGTCAATATCTATCAGTCTTAAGTTCTAAATTAATTATTACAAAATTGCTCATCTTCTTTTTTTTTATATACGTAGAATTAATAATAATAACGCTGAGATCTGATAGAAAACTGCATTAGTAGTTGGGTCCTAAAATCTAAAATAGGGAGTGGTTAGTAACAACTTTATATTGAAAAAAATATATATTATATAAATACAATGCAATTTTTTTTTATACCACAAATAATTTAAGCATTTTACAAATGGAATATAATTGACCAAGAAAAAATAGTTTGTGTGGTTCATTTAAATTAAACCCGTTAATTCAAATTACCAAAAATAAATAAATTAATAATAAATACAACTTTTAACTAAAATAACTTGCATTGTTAACACTTAATATTTACTTTTCTAAGCAACACAGACTTTAATTCACCAATTAAATAAATTAAATATAATACTTAGTCTGAAGAAAAATAAATTTATGTATAGAAAATTATGGCATAATTAATAACTATATTACAAAAATATGATATAAGAAACTTTATGCAATACTTTACAAAAACAAACTAGATTGTTTCATGTTCTGATATTTAATCTTAATGAAACAAATAATTTTTAATATTTTGTTTTTACTATTAAACAAAAAAACAATACAATGTAATGTAATTATATTTTGTTTTTACTATTAAACAAAAAAACAATACAATGTAATGTAATTAGTTGAACTGAAAATGTTGAGGTAGATAATATTATATTTATAGAATATAAGCCTGAAAGATGAAGAATCAAAAAACACTTCTAACAAAATTATCCCAGGTTAAAATTGTATTACATACATTAAACAAAACACAAACTGAAATGCATTGTAAAAAAATAGTTTTATATTGTATATGAAATGTATTTTATACCAATAAATTTTGAAATTTTATTTTTTTATTTATCAAACAAAATTTACTTTTCATATAATGGTAATATTTTTTATTTTTATTTTATTTATAACAAATATTTGAATATCAAACAAATTAAATTTGGACATTAAATATTATAAGTAAAATACCAGAACTATGACATAGAGAATGAAAATGGTGATGAATTATTCTAAATATTTTTTTAATTTATATCCGATTATTTGTATCATTAGATACAGGAAATATTACCAGTATTCAGTAGTATAGGTGATCGTTTTAATGATACTAAGATTTTCATGGGAATATATTTATTTTAAGATAGTACTAAAGGTACTACACCCAGGGTAGTGTTTTATGTAAGATCAAATTAGACTACAATTTTAGTACTTAGTAAGTACCTGTATTTAAATTAATATAAAAAGTCAGACAGCTATAATAAAAAAAAAAACTTGAGTGATAAATAAAGAATACCAAATACCTAACAATTGGAACATATTTTTGGTCTTGAGACCCAGAAACAAAATTATAAAAAGTTTGTAAAAAATCAACATAACAAAAAAATATGTTTGCGGTCACTTATGGTAAAGTTGACAACTATTTAAATAACAAAACACTTGCCATAGTATATTTAAGTCGTCCTTCCTTCATCTCCTTCACCCATAAATGAATTTTCAGATTTTAATTTTTCTAAAGTTTTAATTTGTTGCTGTAAAAATAACACCCTGAAAACCAAATTGAATAATAAATATAAAGAACCAAGTTAGTTAATGCAGGTTTTTTTTTTATATTGAAAACTCACTTGTGTTCTAGTAAGGATGCTTGAACTTCAGTCAAACGAACAATAGATCTTGCATATTTGAGTTCTGCAGATACTCGTGAACAGTGTACACTTCCTAATATATGGGCTTCTTCATTTAATTTTTGTGCCTAAAACAAAATACTTAGCCATTAAAACCATGTAATTTTATTTTCAATTAAAGATATTATGCATTTAATTATGTTACCTGTTTTGCTAAAATATCAGCTGGCCATGATTTAACGTGTGATGTTAAATCATCACGTACAAAGTTTGACATGACGGGAGACGTTGTTGTTCCAAGTTGCCTGTAACTCATTACATTGTTGACTTGGACAACTTGTTCAGCATGGCTTGTTATAGGACTTCCTGTTATTATGATTTATATTAATTTAATTCAAATACAAGGACAAATACTATTATTTCTTAGTTTGTTAAAAAAAACTACTTTAAGAACCTTATAAATAATATTTTTAAAATTCTACTATATTTGGCTTAAAAAGCTCACAGTTCAGAAACCATAAAAAAAACCTCGGAATTGGATTAAAAATGACAAACAACTGGAATCAGAAAATGGGTGGCTATGTATAGGTATATGGAACGTTAGAACACAAAACAATTGACACACTGGTGTAACAAGAGCCAAATAGCGGAAACCTAAAGAAAGGAAATTCAACATTATTCTATAGTGGCACCATTGTAAGACACAAAAATGGAGGTTTTTCATGGAACACGTACAAAATACTACCACAAATGTGAATAATTTTTCAGCCTTTAATAGTGGGATTTGGTATATTGGCATAGCGGGAAAGATATTCAACATAACTACTAGGGCTCGGATTTGAATGCTCTAAAAACAGAAAATCGATCTGAACAATGTACAAAAATTTATTTTATCGCATATCATTAAAAATTTACATATAAATTATTTTTTTATGTTTTATTAGGTACATCTAACTAATTTAAAAAGTACAAAAAATTAAAATATTTACTTATCATTTATTAAAAAAAAAAAAATTTATGGCAATGTGATTAGAGGTTCAGAGTGTTTATAAATTATAATCACGGCCTACAAATTATACTATTGGATACATGTTTTTCCCTCTGTCTAGGCGTCAGTGGGTAAATTGTTAAAAGTAGAATTTTTGGACCAAAAGTATATGGCCCCCTCCTCCCTAGAAGATGTGATATGACTGAAGTCATATGATATACAAATATTCATTACAACTAACAAATTGACCAAAAATGAAAAAAAAAATGATTTTAAGCTGCGAACAAGGATCGTAATGGATGATACAGGAACTAATCTATAGTATGATCACTGAAGAAAAACAAATCATAAGTAATTTTAAGGAGCATTTTGAAGGCCTCCTTAATCGACCCACAGTAAGACATAATTTAGAACTATACATTGACTGCTATACAGCAGAAATAGCCTTAAAATGTACAATTTACAATTTTAAAATACTCATAGCTCGCTTTAAAATTAAAATATAATAAAAAGCCCATGAAGTAGTCTAGATAATAATCTTACCTTTAGTTTTATAAGAGGTCAATTTACTCTAATTTTTAAGCTAACCGGAGCTACACGTGTTCTGCTTTGCGTATAATTTGCTATGTTACGCACTTGTAAGACGGAGACAACACATGAGGGTATCCGTCATTTTAATATAAAAAATGTTAAGATAAAACTAGCTATTTGCAAGGCATCTCAGATCCTTTTGAAATTGAATCAGACATAGAACAAGGCGAAACTCAACGACCACATTATTCTCAAAAAAATAATAAAAGCCACAAACGAAGACCAAAAGATGGAGATAATTAATGATCAAATTAGGTTCGCATATGTAGATGCCATTGTAATGTGTGAAACTAAAATGGAAGTCATCAACACAACATCCAAGCTCATAAACGTAAGCAAAGGAATGGGACTGCATGTAAGCAAGGGGAAAACTAAGTACATGGTTATTTTGAGAAGACTGCCAAATATAGATTCTAGATTCAGGCAATGTTCAGCAGTTCAGTTTTCATGCGCGAAAGTGGTTCAATCTTAACTTGAACAGAGTATACTATAACATAGTTACCTACAACCTGTATTAATATATGTGGCACTTGTGAAGTCTTTGACCAAAGTCTTTGATAGTAGAAGACTTAAAATTCGAAAGGAAAGTGTTATAAACTATGTATGGACTTATCTTTCACCCAGAAATATAGGCATATGAAGTAATAAAAATATGAAGAGGCTATATAATAAGCCAGACATTATCTTTTATTAGGAAAAAACGGTTAGAATGATTCAAGCATGCGTGAAGAGCGGACATGAACCTAATTAAAAATGTTTTTGAAACAAAATAAATAAAACAAAACTCCTAGGACGACCCAATACCCGATGGATTGACATTGTTACCAAAGATTTATTAATAATAAACCAGAAAGCAACCTTAGAGATAGCCTATAAGAGAGATAGATATTGATTGCAGTGCTGGATCCGAATGGTCAAGAATGATGAAGAATATTAGATATTTAGATTTTAGGAAGAGTAAACAACCTGTTTTTTAAAAATAATTTTTTGGACTAGAATTGCATTTTGTTGTGGTATTGTTAATGATAAAAATAAAATTATTTCTTTTGATTAATTATTAGAATATTTTACCAAACAGGGTGACAGATAAAATCAAAAAGACAAAAAAATACATGAATAAGACGACATATAATATAAATAAAACTTATTATCGTTCAATCAAAAATAAAAACAAAGTCAATAAATATGTTATATAAGTAAAAAAAAAAAATAAAGTAATAATGTGGTAAAAAGATAACATATAATTGGTGTTTTATACTAGTACTGTATTTTGATCTCAAAAATAAAGTGTCCAACACCTTGGGTGATCAATTGGTTATTACTAGTTAGTATAGATATGGAAACGATTGGAGCCAAAATGAATTAGAAATATTTAGAGCAAGCAAATAATATATAGGCTTAAGAAAAAATATTTTAATCAGAATATTTAGGGTTTTCTTTCAGCTTCAAAAAAATTAAAACTTTAAGACCAGAAAATATAATACTGGGTTATTTAGAATATTTTAATTTAATTACTATTAAAAATTAAATGTGTGATGGATAGGTTATCAAATTAAATAATTACCTTTAACTTCTTGGGTATTATTAGTCTCTGTGCTTGCAGGAGTGGGTGGACTTCGTTCAGTAACATTATTGGTTGTTGATGAATCAACTAAATTTTGAGTTATATTTGATATTGGTGGTGTTGTTGATCCAACATCAACATTTGTTCTTTCACATGGTTCACTGTTAACTTCAGCTCCCTTTACCTAAGTGTTAATAAATTCAGTTAGGATAAATAACTTTTGAATTATTCATAGTAAAATTTATACTGAAAAAAAAATACTTGTGATTGAGGAGTAGAAGAACTGTGCCTTTGTGCAGGTACATTTGATAGTTGAAAGGACTTTTCCGAAGTTGGAGTGCTGTCACCACTACACAATTCCATATCTTGGGTTTGCGAAGAATCGCCTAATTAATATCATAATAAATTTATTATATATTATCTATTTTATATTCGTATTTATATATTGAAGTGTGAACAGTAACTGTTTACTTATATTAATCTTCATTAAATAGTTTATAAGGTATATTTTTATGATTATTCAGGTATAAAAATTTTAAATTGAAAAATATAGAGTATTAGATACTTAAGTTGAACGTATATGTTTATCCCTAATTACTATTTAGACATTACAGCAAAGTAGGTTAAGGTAGGTTCTTAACCACAAATTATTTATGATCAAAGATGATAACTTTTTTTGGTGTATGATAGTGGTACGTTATACATGCAATATTTTATATTTTTTTGGCAAAAATTATTTTAATTTTATAAATAAAAAAAATACTAATACAGTAATATTAATATAAATATAATATAAAAAAACTATCCTCAGAAATAGAGAATGATCTGCTATCACCATAGTTTGGAATCGTTTTTGTATACAGGGTGATTCACCAAGTATGCATGCTCATGCAAGTATGCTTGAAAACCATATTTAAAAATTCTTGATTATTTATATTGATTTTCTTGATAACATAATGATTGTCCTATAGCAATATAAACTCTGTTTTTTTTTTTTAAGAGGATGTCACACCTGCTCGTGTTGTCTCCGTCTTATAAATGTTTATGTACAACATAGCAAAAACTGTTTTACATGAGACAACTTTTCTCGCAAAATATTTTTTGCAGTACTACCAAATTTTCACAACACGTAAAGAAGAACTTTATCTGTGTAACAGCGTGCTTTTTTTTTTTAATAGCACTCAGGCGCGTAGCCAGGGGGGGTGTTACAGGTGTAGTAACACCCCCCCTCAACCGTGGTGTACTATGTTTTATAATTTAAACCTGGACACGGGCACACGGAATTAGATAATTATTATTTTAGACCATTCTGTGTCAGTTTATCGTTGACTCGTTTCATGTACGATACAAGATATCTTTTAATGCAGAGTATTTACAACTTGTCTACAACTTCATCATTAGAGTGTTACTCTATGGTATCAACTATCATTGGGGATTACAATTTCAATACCTCGACTAGCTATAAACCGAACAAATCGTTTTAGAATTTCAACAGAATCACCGGAAGTCTATTTTAGGATTTTGATTTTTGTAAATTTTTTGGATCATTTCTGTGAGCAACTAAATGACAGATTTTTGAACCATAAATCACTATTAAAACAATTTACTTGTTTAATAAATGCAAATGAAAAAATGATACCGAATTTAAAGAACTTCTTAAGACATATTCTTCAGATATTGAAGCTGATGAAATATCTGCAATTGGTGAGTTTGCAATATGGTATGAACATATAAAAAATAAAAATCCTAAAAATCCTAAAAATGTTACCGAAGCCTTCTTTGACAGCTACGAAGACATATTTCCTACTGTTTATCGACTTTTACAAGTATTGATTACTTTACCTGTAACAACTGCAAGCAGTGAAACGTCTTTTTCCTCATTAAGACGCTTGAAAACATATCTAAGAAATACAACTGGTGAAAATCGCTCGAATGGCTTAGCTGTTATAAATATTCATCGAGATTTAGTCGTAACCACAGACGAAATAATAGATACACTAGCCTCAAAAAGTCGACACATTAAGTTAATTTAAAAATGTATTCATTTTTTTTTTATTGATAATAATATTATATAAGAGAACTATTATTCTAAACTATTATCTATTCACGGTTAAGTTGTAATACATTTGTATAATAAATAATTTTCAAGCGAGATATGAGCATTTTTAATATTTCCATACACTTATTTTTCTCAAAAGTGAAAGTATCGAAAAATCGCCCAAGCTAAGACCCAGATAATGTTCTTACCTAAAAGTTTGATAATATGTCGATTCACTCTAGTATCAAAACTAACAGCTCACTATTGAAAATAGTGAACGACAATTTGTTATGTCGTGCGTGTGTAAGACAGAGACAACACACGCGTCTTAGCGTCCTCTTAAGTTTGAATAACACCCCCCCTTTGAAATTTCTAGCTACGCGCCTGATAGCACTATCCATTTTTTATAAACAAATGAAAAAAACAAAAAACCAAATAACTTTTATTAATTTATGTTATTTAAAATATGGGCACGCTGTTGCATAGATAATTTTCCATATATTATCATGGAATTAGGCAAATACTATTATCCTCTATTCCAAATAAGAATTATCCTTTTTTTTTTTTTTAGCGCAAGTGGAGCATGGTGAAAACTTTGTGACAATACAGTTCACTACAGTTCTACAGTTTCAACGAGTGAAACACCATGGTGTATACATAGTGAACTATTTTGTCAAAACGTTTTCCCTATACTCGGTGTGCGCAAAAAATAGAGTGGTCATTCTTATTTGGAATAGAATATATTACCATATAAGCATTTTGTTACACATATATTATTCATTTTTAACTTACAGGAATTGATTATTGTTGGTCCATCTTGTTCAAGTCTATCTACATTACACTCAGACACATGATGAGATTGCGAGACATTTATTGGAAGATTATTACTTCGCATTTGATTCCAATAAGCATCTTTTTGATGGTGAGTTGGTCTACTTGTAGAATTAACTTGTTGTTGAGAGGACTGTTGTGAAACTTTGTTCACATGATTGCTCATTGATGATGATCTCATCATAGAGTTATTGGAATGTTTGTCTGTACAAAAAACATATATTAATGTTATAAGTAACAAGTTTTAAATATAATTACAAACCATGGTGGTATTGTGTTCGAGAAGGTTGAGATGCTGGATAAGCTTCTAACCATTCTCTTGGCTGATCCCATTGGGATACTTCGGTTTTACAATTATAATAGTATTTTTTGCCTGAAGAACTTGTGTGTTCAGACCAATCACCAACTTTAGTGACAGTCGAACTTCCACCAGACCTGGATTCGCGGTTATTACTACTACTGCTGCTACTCTATACATAAATAAATATAAAATTAAAATAAATTATATACACAGGTAAATTGATTTAAGAAATAACCCAGAGAATTTTGAGAACAAAAAAATTATGTCACGTTCAAACTATTATTAAAAAATAAAGGATACAACTATATATCGATAATTGTTAATTATTATCAATTAAAATATACATATAAATGATACACAGGATATTGGTTGATAAATGATAATCATTCTAAGGAATACAATATAAAAAGAATACATCGCAAAACTACATGTACAATTTTTTGCTTGCATTTTGTTTGTATTCAATCAATAACTTAAGAAAAATATGTATTAATAATAATGAGATTTATACAAATAGATATAAATATTAAATATGAAAAGTAAAGAAATTCAAAGCAATTGTAATTTCACAGAAGTCTCACATAATACATTGGCATGTGGACACCCAATTATTCATGCTTTGTAAGCAAATATTTATGAATTTACGTATTGTATTTACAACATATATTACAGACATTATTATATTATACATTTTCAGATTATGAAAAAAAAAACAAAAATAATATTTACCTGACAAGAGCTATGAACAACTTTCCGTTGACCAGATTCTCTAGAATCTCTAGAATCCCTAGAATTTGACCACTTCACAGAATGAACAACCATTTTCTAAAAAATTAAATATCAATGTTAAAAATTAAATATGCAATATGTAATAAAGATAATAAATTACTTCCGGACTAATCCGATCGTGGTTTGTTCTATATTCATCTCTACTTCGTCTATCTTTTGGTGACCTACTATAATCTGAAAAAATAAATATAATTTTTAATTTCATATTAGGTATTTTATTATGCTCTTAATAAATATCAAATTAAATAAAGTATAAAAAGGTGGGTAAGTGGATGTCGCTCTGCTGTACAGTAGGTTACAAGTGGGTCACTGTATAATGGATGATATTAAATTTGAATTCAACGATATAATATCATTGTATAAGAAAAACGATTCTGAGCGGAGACGGTATGTCAGTCTATGTATAAGACATATTATATATGTATATAATATGTCTTATAAAACAAAAAATTGACCTATAATAGGTACCTATAATAAATTCCAAATTAATCATATCACAATGTCCATTAGGTACTTATAACGCGTTATACATCAACAAAAACCGTGATACTATCATAGATATATAATAGTACACTTTAGAAGTTTCAAGTACCACGAATAATATTATTCAATCACAACAAAATAACTAAAATAGTTATTCTAGGTTTTTTAATATGTAATTTCGTCCAAATTTGAATTTAAAATGTCTGTAAAAAATAACTGTGTTCATATATTTTTTAGATTTTTTGGTTACAGTATGAACTATTTATGAGAACCTTTGTTTTAAATTTGCAATCCTTAGCTATAAAAACTGAACATTTTATAATTTATTAATTTCAATGATTGATAATTTTCGAGATTTTGATAAATTTTGTCAAAATCTGATATTTAAATGCTTATAAAAAAAAACTGTGCCTATGTATTTTTAATATTTTTCAACTGCTATTGTAACAATATATCAGGAGCCTTGTATTAAATTTTTACACTTTTTGGCCCAACAGATAAAACTTTATTGATATTTATAGAAAAAAAAACTAAAAAAAATTGAAAGCTGTAAATGTCCATAAACAGCTCAAAAAGAGTCAAAATATTTTCAAAATTGTATGGTGTATAGGAAATGCTAATATAAACATTCAGTGAAATTTTCATGTATCTACAGTTATATGTTTTTGAATTACAACAAAATAAGGAAATCGCTACATGGGAAATCGAGTGAATATTCAATGTTGTAAAAATTTGAATTTCAAATGCTCATAAAAATTTAATTTGACTTTCTTATAGACATTTTTTTTTTGATAAAGGTAGATAATCTTATAAGGAATCTTGTGTTTAATTTTCAAATCTTAGATTTAAAAAGAAAAATTTTTACGAATTCTTAACTCAAAATAATTTGCTAATTTTCGTGATTTTTCCATATTTTGTCAATTTTTGAACTTTAAATGCTTATAAAAAAAAATTGTGACTAAGGATTTTTAATATTTTTCATCTGCCTTTGAAACAATATATTAGGAGCCTTCTATTAAATTTTCAAGCTTTCGCAACCAACAAATAAAATTTTATTGCTATTTTTAGAAAAAAAACTAAAAAAAAAAATGGAAAATGAAAATGTCCCTAAACAGTTCAAAATAAATCAAAATATTTTGAAAATGTTATCGTGTATAGAAAATGCAAATATAAACAACCAGTGAAAATTTCATGTATATACGTTCATTTGTTTTAGAGTTACACCAAAAACCAAAATCGATTTTTTGGAAAACCAATTTTGCTTAAAAATTCCCGTTTTTCCTTAATTTTTAAGTTGTTTTTCCCGGCGCTTGTGAAAACTACTGGGAAATTTATACTTTTGACCCCCCAAAGTACCAACTAGATTCACTTTCCTATCAGAAAAGCTACTGATGAAGAAAATCCAAGCACTTTTACTGTCCTAAAACGTGATGACAGACACAAAAATAAAAAAAAAATAAAAAAAATAAAAAAAAAAACACACATCATTGTAAAATCAATACATTCATCGTTTCACTCAGAATCTAAAATTATTTTCATAATGCATTAATCAAATAAATATTTCTAGAAATAATTTTAAATCAATTCATTGAAATATAATTATTATGTATTACATGTTATTATATTTATAAAGTTGAAAAAATAAACATTATTTAGAACTCTACATCTCCTTTCATCATATAATTTAAAACTTATAATAGAAAATGTATCACCATTTACTAGTTTTAATACAATTAGGTATTTGATAAATGTTTTAATTATTTTTGAAGAAGTATGTATAATGTATTACTTATTAGTTATTAAAAAGTATATATGTAACTATTACATATTTTCTAGGTATCTCATCTAAAATTTAATCAACAAATCCTCAATAGTCTACTTGAATGTGGCAAATGGAAGATTTGAACATTAATAATATCCTTTAAATCAGGGGTGTCCAACCCGCGGCCCGCAATAGATTTTGATGAGGCCCTCACTTCAATTTTAAAACCATGAATTAATTATACATAATATATTAATATTACGAGAAAGAATAGAATATTTTCGTAAGAATAGTCAACTCTTAGCTATTTTCGCAACACCATTTTCGGTTGATATTACTGCTGTGGAAACTAAATTTCAAGTGGAATGCATTGAGTTGCAATCATCTGATATTCAACTCCAAGAAAAATTCAATCAGTCATCTTTATAAGATTTTTATAAATTATATCTACCCAAAGAAACATATCCAGTCCTTCATGACCATGTCTTATTCATGTTCTCGCTTTTCGGCAGTACTTACATTTGCGAAAAATTGTTTTCAAGAATGAAATACATAAAGAGTAAGAATCGGTTCACTATATCAGACAAGCACCTTGAAAGTTGTTTAAGGATTTCCACAACTTCAATCGATCCAGATATTGATTCATTACTTTCACAAAAAAGGAAATTTCAAATTTCACATTAAAAAAAAACTAATGACTTTTAACTTTTTTAAACTAAAACTTTTTTTTATTATAAATAAATATATTTTTCTGTGTACTTATAATTGAATTATTAAATATTACTAATTGTAAAAATATTTCTGCTTATTATTTGCTATTGTAAAATTATAAAAAAATGTATTGTTGTATTATAGATTATAATTTAATCATTAAATTTGAATGTATTATTATTAAAAAAAAGTATGTGGCCCACAACAACTTCTACCTATATGATGTGGCCCAGTCTTCACAAAAGGTTGGACACCCCTGCTTTAAATTATCTTACACACTACAGTATTTACATAAAGTGCAAAAAGGTCAGATCCTAAAATTAAGGTTGACACATGTACTATTTCCTTTCAAGGATATCTAAAATTTACAACAAAAGATAGCACAATTAAATTATAGAAAAATGTGATTAAATGGATACACAAGATGCATAGGTATTTGATATGAACAGGGATCGAAACCGTTAATTCAGAAAATCGGTAAAACCAGTTATTTTCATAATTGAAAACCGGAACCGAAACCAAAAGCGTTAAAACACCGATTAATAAACCGTGACCGAAAATCTTGAAAAATCTGTTAACAAAACACAAACCGAAACTAAAGAATTGAAAAACTGTTCTTACAAACAATTAAAATTTAAAACTAATATCGGTTTTTTCAAATTTTATTAAGTTAATTACCTATATTATTTATAATTCTAGTTAAAACGAGTATTTTTATGCAAAGAAAATATTTTGTTTGAATCCCGATGCTAATACTGAGTATTACAAAATATTAATATGTAATAAGAATATTATCCTATTTATATTTTATAATATTATTATTTATTACTATACATATTAATTCAAAATTAAAATACAAATATCACAATTATTCCTTTTGTTCGCTCCTATGTTATTTGAAGTATTTGTGTATACTATCATTTAATGTTATTACAATTGTTTTGTATTTGACTAATCCGTCCCGCAGTCATCAATTTTGAATTCATTCAAATAATTAAATGTTCCATAAGTACTCTCTAACTTGTATATAATATTTAGTTAAAAAATAGAAAAAAAGCTTGCCAATTCAGAGATTGGCATGTAAACTTTCTTGATTTTTAATTTTTAGAAATTCATTAACCGATATCACATTCAAGAGGTATAACAATTTGAATCCAGAAAAATGTCGGTGTGAACAGCTTCACAAAAAATCATTTATATGTAGTGAGATGGATCTCTGAAACCAGAAAGCGGTTTTTTTTGTTTGGGGTCTTGTTAGATTCAGATTGGCTAGGAGAAGTGCAGTCAAGATTTTCAGAACTTTACCTTTAATAGTTAATTCACTACGGAACCTTAAAAAAAAATTAAAACTTATTTTATTGGACGTTTTTCAGCTTTGTAGTGAATAATGATTGAAGATAAGGTTCTGAAAATCTTCATTGCACTTCCCCTAGCCAATGTGAATCTAACAAGACACATACAACAAAATCCGTTCTCCAGTTTCGTAAATTTACCTCGCTAAATGAAAATCTTTTGAAAAATAACTATTTTTTTTAATTGTGAACAATTAAATAATTTTTTTAAAAAGTTTTTTATTCCACATTATGTATTTACTTGATGATACCTTTTTAATGAGTTATCAAACAACTTTCTAGCTATCATAGTTTAGGAGAAAAGTTAAAAAATAGAAATTTTGGGACTAATCGCTATACCGCTTGGGTGTGATATCAAATAGCTAAATTACCCACCTACTCATCATCACTGACTTACATATTTATTTTTTTATTATTTGACACAAATTCTTGAAGTTTTAAAAATTCAGACTTTTTTAATTTCAATTACCATACTACAAAGTTACAGGAAAATAGTGCATTTGCAACCATCATGAATTATTTTAACTACATTTAAAGGTAAGGTTTTCCTATAGTGCCTCAACATGTCAATCACCATGGCTTCGCTCAGCATCTAAACTCGACTCTGTCCAGAGCAGATGTTTAGGCTAGACGCTACAGGAAAACAATACCTTATATTTAACTGAAGTTACTAAGTAACAGGGTACTAAATCATTAGCAGAAAAGTAATTTGGGATATGGTGTGTATTTTATTATCTAAATAAAAACACTTACCAGAATATTTATCACTATTCCTAGATTTATAGTCTCGAGAATCTCTCTCCTTATCTCTGTGACTTTTTTGAGAATGATATGAACTTTTGCTAGAGTATGATCGATCTCGCGATGGACTTCCTCGGCTAGGACTTGGATACGAGGTACCATTTCCCCTAACACTGCCATACTTTTGATCACTGCTAGAATTTTTTGAAACTAAATATTTGGAATTCTGAAAAATAAATTTATATAATAATGATATGTACCAACAAATTTTAGTTTATTATTGAAATTCTAATAAACAATACATATAGAATAGTGGGGTAGAAGGTTGCACGGCACGAGCACTAAAATGAGAAACTCATTTTGCTGTTTAGCTGAGTACCAATATTGATGTAAGCACCTACACACGTTTTATTTTCTATGGCAAGTGGCTACCTCTGCCATCAATATCACTGATTACAGTACATCTTTGTTGTTGGAGTAGCGACTTGACCCATTGATTAGAAAAGCCATCAATAATTACGATTAGTATACTTTGAGTTTAGATTGATAGACTAGTTGGTCAAATGTTGGCCCATTTAAACTAGACTTTTATGTTTGTAGGGCAAAACATGTAATATATTATATACATTCCTACAAACCTAATCAATCTAAACAAAAAATTATCTTATTATTTAGTTCTAAAAACTTTATCTTCGTATAACTTTTTCAGTGGACTGGTAGTACATACCATTTTTCTTTCGTGATATCGAGACATACCAGACATGAATTAATACATGTTAGGAAAATTTCATTGGATCAAAAAGGTTCCCTAGCACTTGAATTTAATAACGTATCATTTTAAATAAAATATTTATTTTATCATTTTTTGAATTGAAGCACAAGTTAAACTAGATAGATTAAATTGTATTTATACCATAAAATTCAAAAGAAAACATATTGTATGCACATTAACATAATATTATAAATTACTATTAAGCAATTCTAATAAAATAAGTAATTATAATACTAGTGTAAATAATATTGTTTTATAATTTAATATGTTAGACATAATAAACACTATGTTTAGAAATTGCAATTGTTTAAAGTCTTTCAATATTTCAATACTTTACAACTGTCCTATATGGTGTGTATTAGGGTTTTAATTACAAGTGCTAAAAAGTAAAGTTATTATGTAAAACATGATTATTTTATAAAGTTAAGAAATAGTTAAAATAAAATAAGATAAGGGAACAGTATAATTAACTACCTATTTTTAATAAACATTTTAAGTTACTGAATGAATAATTTTTTTAGATTTTACGTGTTCACAACTTACAAGTAAAACCATTAACATTACAGTACTAAACATTCTAGGTATTCTTGGGAAAAACAACAAGAATTGCAAATCGGATCAGGAGAATGATTCTAACTTTTGATTTTCTAAGCATTCTTTATTTGAACTTATTATATTCTGTAATAAATGTATATTATTCTTTCTCAATGTGTTAGTTACCTAAAATATGTATAAACATTGTAAAGTTGTTGATACATAACATTTACTTCAGACGAAATCACTAAATGTATAGAATGAAAATACCAGTAAAATGTTGTTTCTTTATAATAATGAGGATAGACTTTTACTTTATTTTATAAAAAATATTTCATAGGAACCAATATTTTGAAGGACATAGTTGTGTACCTAACTTGGCAAATAAATTATCACAGGGCCCAATAATATTTACCTGATACTGATGGGACGGGTTCTTGTCATAATACCTGAAAACAGAACAGCCAAATATTAATATTATTATTGATGTATAATAATTTGAAATTACGTTAATCGTGTAATTTGGTAAGTAGGCCTTACCCATCACTAATCCTTTGAAGTTTCCTCGCATGCATTACCATCAATGCCGATTATCTGTGGAAATTCACCGCCCGGCTATGGAATTATATCGTTAACGATAAATGTAGGAGGACGTGTCGGTGGTTCTGGGGCTCAATCAGACGTAAGAATCTTTAATCGTAACCGGACGCCATGAAAGAGACCAATAGTAAAATGTAATAAAATGGAGTGAAAAGGAAAAAAACATTTAGACATTAGACGGGGTGAAGATGCTGTCAGGTGAGTGGAAGGGGCTTGTCATCCATCGGGAAGGTATGCACTACCATTGGTCAGTTCGAAAATCAGCTGGCGTTTATAAACAGTGCGAACATTGGATAGTGAAATAATAAGAAAATTTAATTAAAAGTAAATTGATTTTAGGTATCTGGTTAATGAAGGCACTATTTAAATAATTCGAATACTAATTTTTCTCAACAATTCCCGAAAGCAAAACCGAAATTTTACCAAAACCGTTTTTTGTTTATTTTTGTTCAGTTTGCAGCCGTGTTGTATTCGTATAAATTTTGTTTATGCAAAATTCGTCCTTGAAATAAAAACACTAATTTGATTAAAAAAGTAAATAAATATTACCTAAATAGTAAATCTGCCGTCAATGAGTTTAGTGAATTGTCTATATCAGTATATCATTAATTGCTTTAGTTATTTTGTATATTGACCTACGACACTTAAGTAACGATCTACTGTAGTCTATTTAGATATACAAATAGGAGTGTACTTTTATCGTTTAAACAATGGTAGATGTACCCGTTCAAGATATGAACAAAAATACATTTACATGGCACAACAAGAATGGCTACAAATCTGCGAAAACGTAAATTTTACTATAGTACTATGTACTATACTACTATATAGTATTATCTACTTGACTAATATATAATTTTGATCTTATTTTTATTTCTCAGATATAATTTATTTAATTATTTTTCAAGCATTGAAGATTCACATTCAAAATATCTTCATTATCAAATGACCAAATCTTTGTCTGTTCAAGTAAGAATAATACTTGACTAATTTGTTAATGATTGTATTTAATTACTAGTTATGTTATAAAAAAAAAAAATATATATAAAGTTACATGGCTGTATTCTAATTTTATATTTTCAAAACTAGTTTTATTTAATTATAAGTTATTTAAAAAAATATTAAATAATTATTAATGAGGATCTACAGTAGCTACTTGATGCCTTTATCTCCAAAGTTCCAACTTTGTAATACCTAACATTAATTTAAATTTTTTCAAGGTTTATTTTCAATTATAGAAACTTCTTTACTAACTGTTTTGCAGAATACTATTTATATGTATTCTATCGAGAGAGCTACTTTAAGCATCAACAAGCTCATGGGATCTATACTCTAAGAATCTCAAAACAAATACCATATTTCACAATTTACCTTAAGTACCTTCATAAGGCGCACATTGGGTGTGAATTTATGGGGTGCTGGAATAATTTATGGTTCACAGATCCTTGAGGAGCTTTACCCCCCATACCCCCCTAAATCCTAATATTATAATAGACTGCATTGCATCATATTTAATTTGTATACAATAATATGTAAATGGCAATGAATCTAATAGTCTGTACGATTGTAAAGATGCTAGATACACCCAAATGTGTTGTCTTCATATTACAAACGTAGGTACAACATAGGAAAAACTGTATAAAAACCACTCAGGCTGTACTCTAAGCTAAGAAACTAAATGTCCATACTATAAAAATGAGAACATTTACTGTGTAACATTGTTTTTATATTTAGAACAATATATCAGAACAAAAAAAAAAGTTATTTAAGTTTGATAAACTAAAAAATGATTAATTTTGAAACTATAAGAACTTTTTTTGTATTTGTAATATCGAAAAATTAAAAACAATGTTGCACATTCAATGTTCTCCTCTTTCTAGTAGAAACATTAGGTTGCATAACTTGAACTATAGACTGAGTGGTTCTTATCCGCGCAAAACCGTTTTACTATGTTTTCATTTGTAAAGCAGATACCACACATGCGGGTGTAGCATCCTCTTAATAATATTTGTCATTCCGAATTTATTCAATTCAGCGTAGCTCGCGCCCCGCAGAATAAATAAATATATTAGTAAAAACCAAAGTTATAAATAGAACATTTTGTACCCAACCGTGAACCCTAAGATAATATAATTTTCTATAATAATATGATATGATGTGATTGCTACATGTTGTTTAATGTTTCGACAAAAACTGAAACACTGAAACGTGCATTCACACAATGCTGTTTTAATCATGAATGTGTAAACAGTTGTCAATATTTGTAATGGAAAGAAAAATTCCAAACCAATAAACCACAATAATTTATAAATGATTGGTGAAATACTGAAATAAATTGAGGGTGCTAAGCACCCCAAAATGTGCGCCTATGAGTGCGTTCACTATTGACAATATCAAAGCTGACTTTAACAACATTTTTTTTTTTTTTTTTTATTAGATAAATAGAATATTTACAATCTGTAATTTTTATGATACAATAAGTAAATTAGATAATGAAAGAAACAATAATAACATGAATGGTTTGAGGAGGGAGGCCCACCAGTGTGGGTACCGTCTAACTTGGGGTGAGGGATGTCATGGAGTGGACGAAATGGGAAGTGTAATTTTGTTAATTAGGGAAGTAAGAGCCAATAGAAGAGGGTTTAAAATACATTTTAAGTCTTCAATAAATTTGTTGATGATGTGGAGAGGTTGATTGACTGATGAAGAGTTGGCTGTGGCTTTGGCATAAGATGTCGGTTTTTGATTTGAGTTGTAACTGGGGACGTTGAAGATTTGTGGTGCAACTGGTACAGCAGATGGTGGGCTGGGGTGTTTTTTTCGGTTTTTCAACTTTGTCAGCTTTGTAAGCGACTTTGTAAATGGTGCGCTTATGTAAATTTTTAAAAATTTGACAACCTTTGTAGTTGGCAGTGTGGTTACCGTTACAGTTGGCGCATTTAACGGGTTCTTCCCGTGTTTTAGAGCAATCTTCGGTAAGGTGGCTTAACCCACATTTCACGCAACGCGGAGGTTGGTGGCAATAATTGCGTGTATGTCCATACATTTGACAAGAGTGACATTGGGGAGGACCAAGTGGTCTTATTGGATGCTCGAATTTCACAATTGAGTTAAACAATTTGTTTATTTTGAAAATTTTGTTGTTATTGCTGTTGCGGGCCAGGGAAATATTGAATAACGGAAGTGGCGATTTGTTTGTACGGTTGAGTATATTTGAAATGCTGACAACTTTGTATCCAAGGTCTTTAGGCTATATGTCGGTGGCGGTAGAGTGGTGGAGGTGACGTAATACAACGCGGAACGGTTGGAGAGCGCGGAGTTGATAACAGTGAAAATCACAGAACAACAACAACATTTTAAATACAATATCTAACAATTACTTTTTATTTTAAAATATTTTAGACTCAACATGATTCTCCATGTAAAAGTGATTCTCCTCAACCATTTTATCATATTCATCAGGTAATTAACTTATTTTATTTTAATTTTCAAAAATTTGTATGTATAAATAAAATTAAATATTTCTTTCATTGTTAATTTTTTTATGTTATATTCTAAAATAATATTCTGTATGGTTTAATAGGTTATAAATACAATAGATTGTTATATTTGACTTTGATTAAGAATTTTTCATCATTAAACTTTTATGGATCATAATTGAATAGAAACTACTATTGCATAAAAATAATAAATATATTAAATACATTAATTATTGACGTATGTTTTTTTATAGGATTCAATTATTACACAGAAGTCAAGTCCAACATCAGTTAGATTTAGTCCCCGTATGGGTTCTAACGCAATCAATTATGCACGCTCAAGTGCTACAAACCGAGTATCAATTACTCCCAATATGTCACCAATCAGCAGTTCTAATGTAGATCAATCCATATCAAAAATTAGTGCAATGTTTCCTACTGCATCGGAATCCCATATTAAATCATTATTAAATAAGTAAGATAATATATAATTAATTATATCTTATTTTTTTTAATATAATAAAAATTTTTTAGATATCATAACAGAGAAGCTGTTGTTATTAGTGCTTTGCAAGTAGAAAAGCATCCAATCGCTACACCTGGACCTTATACTCCACCATCAGTTAGTCGTCATTATATGTTACAAGCAAATCCTTCACCCATGGCTAGTCCATTACCTAAGCCAGCTCATTATTCTCCAAAAATGAAACTCAGGTAATTTTTTACATGCATTTAATTTTGAGAGGTTATAATATGTAAATGAATACCCTTATTAAAAAAAAATCACATGCAAGTGTTCAAACAATAATAAACCATAAATCAATCTTTATTAATTTCATTATTATTATTATTTATAATATAAGTTCTTAGTCCATATATTTTAACACTGATTACCTAGATATTTAACTTAATCAAAATATTTAGGACATTTTAATTTATTTCAAATAATATTTAATTAAGGGACCCGGTGCCAGTTTTTAAAATTTTTTGTAGTTCTATAAAATTTGAAAATTAAATTTTATATTTTAGTTGCCACTTCAATTATAATACTTTTTCACTATATACTACCTTATACCTATTTAGGGGGGATTATTAGGGTGTATTATATTGAAAAAAATGACTATGTGAATAATTCTCATGCTTTGTAAAATTGTCGGATTTTGATAACTATTATTTTATCTATAAGAAAATTTCCTGTATCGAACTTCGATGTTTTATTTTATTTCAAATATTGATATAATATAATACAAAAAAAACTGCTTAAGATTGTAAAATTTTTGAAGACATATTATAAAGTTTGAGTTTAAAATATTGAAAAACGGAGTTCGATGCGGCCTGTAGAATGAATATTACCCTCTATTAGTTAAAAAAAAACTATTAAATTTGGTCATTTCTACAGAACAGGATCATTATTCCCGTAGACCCTATTTAGAAAATTACATTGGCACCGGGCATCTACACTATTTGTCTTTTTTTTAAGTATTTAATATTGTTTTATTTATAAATAAAATATTTGGTCAGACTAATCTAAATAATTATTGTGAGTATGTAATTAATTATTTTATTATTTGATAGTAGATATTGAAAAATAGTAGTACCTAAAAACTACCTTAATAGATTATCCCTTTAAATTAACTTTTATTTTTAAAGTTCATTTTAAACAAACGAATATTGTAGATGACTATAGATGCAAATATTATGTGTATAAGTGTATTTGTTGTAAATGTGTTTGTGTGAGGCTTGAATTTAAAATGTGTTGCCATGATTTTATTTATTTCTTTTACCTATTTTATTTTTATTTTTAGCATGAATTTTATTTTTGATGTTTCAGTATATGTAGTTAAATTGAATTGATAACTGTCTGATGTAATTAGACGATAGAAAATATTTTTTGTGGGCAAAATTTTTCATTGATGGATTTATTTTATAGCATGAGTTGGTAAGTATTTTTATTTTTTATTTTTTTTTTGAAAAATTGATTTTGCAAATCATGTATTGTTGTTTTTAATTACAACGTCTTTGTTTTATATTTCATATAGATATTTGAAAAGTGTATTTCCAGTAGTAGAAGAAACAGTACTTTTGGATACATTATGTAGTGCTGACAATAATGTTAACCAAGCCACAAAAACATTACTAACTATGGGATTCAACAAACGACATAACATTACAAACATTGTGCCTAAACTGCCTAGAGTTACATTAACCAACAGTGAAAATGATTATGAAGAGGACGATATGTTTTGGTTACGAAGAAAAACTTGTGATGATTATGATAAAACTAAATCTACTTGTTCATCTTGGCCTGTTTCTTCTGTTGTATCAACACCAACCAAAAAAATAAATGTTGAAGAACAGATAAAAAGTAAAAATTAAAAAACAAAAATATTAAGTAATAAATAAGTATTAATAATAATCTTTATTTTTGTAGTAAAACAAAGATTACAGGATAAATTTGATGATCAAGAAGAAAAAATTATAATTTTTGCCTTGGAAAGTACAGATTACAACGAATTATTAGCTGATCAGATTCTTAAAAATCATTTGGATAATGAATTTAAAACAAAGGATGAAAATTATGGGTAATATTATTAAAATAAAATAAATAGATATATTTAAAATAGTGTAATAAAATGATCTGTACAACTTGAATTCATTATATTGCATATACACTTTTATATAAAATTGAAAATACATCCTTGAAGTAGTTAATATTAACTTTACTTATTATTATAGGAAACTCAAAAAGGAAAATTCTAGTAAAGAAACAACTGGTGACTGTGTTGTAATGAACAAACTTTCACATTCTAAAACTGAATCGAGAAATTCTTTCTGGTAAGGAATTATTTGTGTTACATAGTGGGTATAACAATATTATTTAATTACAAAAGACAAAAATAATATTGATTAGTCTTAAATTTGTATTCAGTTAGGACTGTTGACACATAATTATGTTAATGATATATAACAACTTTATTAAGCGGACTGCCTACCTTGTCGGTTCCCAAAAGATACAGTATGCATATTCTAGTATATATGTTACAAAATTATAAAATTATAGTAAAAAGTTATATAAATACAATTATTATAAAAAAAGTTAAAGTATCTGCTAGGTAGAATGAGTTTCTGAGCCATGCAAGAAATGTATTGGTCTACCATTATTAAGTCTTTAGCGTATGTCTATTATAATTTTTAATAAATATATTCTTCAAGTTTTGGCAACCCTATATTTTTATTGTTTTCAATGTAGATATGTTATTAGTGCTTCAGATATGTAATTACAATTGTATTATTATACTCTATCGAGCAAGAGAATACGGCTATTCTACCATTGGGACTGGATAGATGGTAGGGTGTCGTTTGGGGGGTGCTCAAAAGAACTGATTTTTGTTGAGACACGTCGTGTAAGTGTTCTCTTGCTGGATGGAGAATAGTTTTGTTATGTAGAAGGTAAAATTATAAAATAAGCGGAACTTCAGTTTTAAGGTTTTCTACTATTTGGAAGTCCAAAGAAGACTTATAAGGAATTGGTCAAGAAATCAAATTCAATAATAAATAATAATTCTCTAGCCAGGTTGGGCTGTTGAGTGGTTTCCTATTAATGGATAATATTACTCGTATACATATATTCTTATTTGTCGCTTATTTGTTAATTATATGAATTATAAATATAAAATTATTATATAATTCTAATTATATTTGAATATATGCTCAGCAAAGCTTATAAAATGTTAGGCTTCATAAATAGGCACACTCAGCCAGTGGCGGATACGAGGGAGGGGCGAAGGGGCGTTTGCCCCCCCCCCCTTGGGCTGTCTTTTTAACGTTATTTTCTTTTACAATATATGGCTAAACAAAAAGACAATTTAATTTTTGAAAATTCGCCCCCCCCCCTTGGGTTACTTCTGGATCCTCTACTGCACTCAGCAATTTAATAACCCTACTACAATAAAAAAAACAATTTATTGCTCCCTTGTGCGATCTGTTCTTGAATATGTATCACTAATTTGGAGTCAATCGTTAACTACTCATATTCATGATCTAAATAATATCTAATTTAAATTTTTTAAAAGAATTGCAAATATGAAAAACCTACCCATGTCTAATGACTATTATGCCAGTAAAAAATTTAGTAAGCATAGATTCCCTCCAGCTAATACGTAAGTTATTTGATATCATGTTCGTATACAACTTGTTCAATTATAATATTGTAAGCCCTGAGCTTTTATCTCTGGTCAATTTCCGTATTTCCTCCTCCTACTTGAGAAATTATAATCTTTTTGCCATTCCATTCTTTAAGTCCAAATCAAGTAGTGACTCATTCTCTGTTAGAGCTCTGAAACTTGCTAATTTAGTATCCACCACCTTAGATTTTTTTCAATACTACTCGTGATACTTTTAGATTTAAGTCAATTATATTTTTAAAAGAAACATTATAATTTTGATATTAGTCTTCGTCAATGAATTTTTTCTTTATGTTTTTATATATTTGTTATTTGTTTACTTATATATTTATATACTTTTTAATATAACTTAGTGTTCTACATAATAATTATTATATTATCTAATTTTTGTACTTATTCTATGCATTATTAATTATTTATACCACATTGAATTATAAAATAAATAAATTATGCATTATATGTCATATCACTTACTATTCTTTCTTTTGTATAGTATATAAATAAGTTATAAGTATAATAAGTAGTGTTTCTAAGAAAACAATAGTATCATAAATACATATAATTAAGTCAAAATATACATGATTTGAAAAGAAAGAATGTAAACTTATTTATTACCATTAAGTATATATTGTAATATACTCAATGTAATTAGTTTTATATTAGTAATATAGTTTTTTTTTATGTATATAATATGTTAATTATTAAATATTTATTTTATTTGGGTTTAGTGAAATAAATGTTGAGAGTCAGATGGTTGCAAATGGTTCACAAAAAAGTTTGGCAAAAGGACCCAATAAAGATTTATTGAGGTAAACCCTATTTGTTACTAAACAACTAACAATCTTTACTAAGTAATATATTTTTCTTACAGTAAAATTTCCTCATCTAAATGTGAGCTGGATGAAAAAAATAGAGTGAAACCCAAAGGCCCAAATAAATCATTGTTGAGTAAAATTCATTCTTTAGCAAAAGGACCAAATATTGAGCTAAAAAAAGGACCGTCTAAAGGATTAGCTAAGGGTAGTATTTTCCATAGACTATTCAGGAAATAATTACTTATGTTATATATTATTTTAAATTAAGTACATTATATCTATATTTTAGATTCTTTGAATTTGTATAGGGAATTAAAATTTTTTTTTACTACAATAATTTAATATTACTTTGTGACAAATTTGTAGATTAATTGTATTGATTATAATATTATATAATTATTTTTCATTTGCTTGTATAGGAACTTCAATCAGAAATCTATCTGATAACACTTGTATAACCCTTATTTTTGTAGATAATATTTAATATAATATAAGTAAAAATCAATAATTATGTACTTAATAATTTATATCGAAAAATGATTATGATAGTTTTGTGATTAAATCTAAACTTGGAATATGGTGTTAAATTTAGTATATTTATTTCACATGAAAATTATTTACTTGTTCAACCGCTTGACGTGTATTTGAACGGTAAGCTCGACTAAAATGAAAAAAAAAAGTCATTTAGACATAATGCTCCCAGGGCAAACATTGTACCAATGCCCCCCTCCCACCACAAGAAAAATACATTTAATTGTCATTCAATTTCAATTATATTGAAATTTTCTGTAAACAGCAATTTGATTTGCTTGTAGACATTTTTTTTTTTTTATTGAGGTATACGACCTTGTGAGGAATCATCTATAATACATTTTAAAATCTTAGATTTAAAAAGAAAAATGTTTATGAATTTACGGAAATTTCTTTCTCTTACGAAAAGTTAACAAGCCATCGTGGCAGTCGTAGCAACAAAATTGAATAATTTCGCTGGATAGTCATAGAACCTAATATTCTTTTATCTATGCATAGAACAGGGTTTGAAGCTGATGAAAAATGACAAATACTCAGAGATGGAGACACAATCGCTCGTTGACTTTTCGTAACAGATGTGGATCTTCTTATATGCTGTGTACCATTGCATAGAACATTATCTATGTTCTATGACCATATATCTATGTTGTAAGACCATATATCTATGTTGTAAGACCATTTTGGTGCCCTAACATGTGTGAGAGACATGGCAACAAAATATTAATTTGTTTTTAAATATTTTTATACAAAAACAAACCATTGAAAGTAGAAACGTGCGTGTTGTGTTGGTTTTTTGTAAAGGAGTTAATTTAAAAAAAAAATACAAATATTGTATATAAATTAATCATTTATTTTAACTAATAAATCATAATCTTCAACTTTATACCTAGGAAATTCTCTTTCACCATGTTTATTAATTCTTGTTATTAATTTATCCACTTGGTGCTTTTTTAAATAATGCAAAGTATCTATAAATAACATTAAAAAAAAATGTATTACATCAGTATTTGCACATAACCTTAATGTTAAATTAAGTACTAATTTACCTCTAACGTTTTTTTTTATGTCTGCTGGGACATTATTATCAATCCAATCATGGAAAAACTTACAAATAACTTTACTTTTTGCACCTGGATACAATTTATTGGTTATTTCTATCCAATTCAAATCCGACCAGTGCTTAGGATTTATCTGTTCTAATCTAAAAAATTATAATAATATTTTATTTATCATTACTTTTAATCTATAATAACAGATCAAATAACTTACAATTTTAACACAGTTAAGTTGAACGTTGACATTAAAATAGGTTCTTCACAAAATAACATGGTATATAAATAGTTCCATTGATGTCTAACTTTATCATAAGTAATATTTTTTCCGAGGTTTTTTGCAACTTTAATCAATATATCCTTTGTTATTGTTAGATTTTTCAATTGTGTCCAATGTTCTGTATTTGTTTCTAATAGAATATTTGTTAATAGTTCTTGCCGCTTTTGATCGTCCCACATAAATTCTAATGAAATTACAAATAACTTTAAACTATAGTTTTTAGAATTAATATAATTTAACTCACTTTCACGTTTTATATGTTGATTTTTTAAAACTTCATGTCTTCTGTAAAGTTGTAATCTAGTTCGGTTTAGAATTAAACTTAATACAGAAAATTTGTTTTTTATTGCATCACATTGGTCTACTTTTATAATTAATTGGTCTTCTTCTTCACTAAAACTATGGAAAAAGTAATACAGTAAAGTTATTAATAAATAATATTGTATTCCAGTGCAAGTTCCCTAACTTTACATCAAAAACAAAACTCAATTTTCTTCATTCTAAAAAGTAAAAATCATTACTGACTCTCACACGTAATAAAAGTTTTTCCTTTCGAGCCACGTTATCGTCCCTAATTGTTTACCCTAATGGTCATCATAATTTTAATTTTACTACGGAATATCTAAATAGCACCGATTTGGAGTTTCATACATACTGTCCAACATGCAAACGCCCATTTAGGGTCAACATTTTGATTCATGTCACCTTTAGCCACTAGAATCAAACACTGTGACACCCTAACATCAAAATAATAAACAATCTCAATTGTATATTTTAGAAATATTCTTTGATTAAAAAAAACACAGTAAGCAGAAATTACTAAGTATACACTTTATTTGAGTTGCTGGGTTCAATAAACGTTGACACCTGAAACTTTAATTGGATTAAATGTTGTTAATGGTAATATGTTAAGATAAAATAATAATGTGACTTTTTTTCTGATTATTATTTGTCTGTATCATATTTGTGTTTATTCTTGGTAAATAAAAGTATAAACAGCCTTTAATGCTAAGTAATAACATATAATTAACTTTCATTTGTATAATAAGCAAATAATACTTTTAAATTATTATTTCATTGCATTCCTCATCAAAAAACTATAAAGGTGGATATAAAATGTTTTATACTAAATCAGAAAGACTGACACAACGGGAGTTACAATGGGGGGTTAAAGGGGTGTTGGTCCCCCCCCCTTGAGCTGTCTTTTTAATGTTAACTTTTATTATAATATTTGGCTAAACAAAAAGGTAATTGAATTTTTGAAAATTTACAGCCCCACTTCGCGGGACTTCTGGATACGTTACTGGACCAATAAATAATAAAGGTAAATAAAGGTATAATAAATTGAAAATACAGATACCAGCTTTACTATTTTACATGACAGGGGCAGCTATAAATAACAACATGATTTTTTTCGAATAATTTTTTTTCCTTTTCCCCACTTCCTTTCCCTTTGTGACACCCCAGTTGAGAACCACCGCATTTGGTCATACCAAGAAGTATTGCACTCACTGCCACCCGCTATGTTAAGTGTGGGGAAGATCACTCGTCTGAGGATTTCACCAAAGACCATAACTTCCCAGTCAAATGCGCACTTTGCGAGGGGTTTGATGTGGCCAACCCAATGTAGAGAAATATTATCTTACTAATATAAAACTAATCATTATACTAATATTACTAATATAAATTATACGAAAGATAGAATACATACCATGTTTTGTCTTGGTATTCATTAAACAAAATATTGAATCTATTAAAAACGGAATATAATAATCGGTTAGGAAGTCCAGCAGATATATAACGAATAAATTGTAATCTTTCTGTAGGACTCAAAGCCATTTCCAAACCATTAGATAAGAATGGTAGAATATTTGAAATATTGTATTCCTGAAAATATAATTATCATTTTATATACATAATTAGTAATATATTGTATAAATAATACAAATAGTTAAACAAAACTATAATTTTATTAGTAGACAAATTAGAACAGTTTTTAATATTTAAATTTAGCCATTTAGACTTAAGAATGTATAGTATTACAGCAATATCATATATTTTATATTTTATCATTAGTTAGCCTAATTAAGATGGAGGTAAACTGCACTACCACTGAAATTTCTTGGGTTACCCTTAAATTATAAATCAACGCCTACTAAAGATTTTAAAACATAATGAAATTTAGTTGAAAATGTTTTACAATGTTAATTATTCACATAATTAAAATTGATCAAAATACTTTAAAATTTTTTTGCCATGCAATACCATATAATATAAATTAATAATGTTAATTTTTATTGAATATTATAAACTAAACCTGACCTGTTTCTTTGAATAGCGTCTTAAGTTCTACTGTATTCGATTGAAAAATATAATTTATCATTTAATCATATTATACCTACCTAGTACCTACATTGGTATGTCAAACGAGGTTGTGGAAAGGCGGAAAAACCTCTGAGTTTTTTATGGGATGGAGGGTGGCTAATAGTTAATTAATTAGTTTTTATTTATTTAGAGTTTAAGCACCTCAAAGGGGTAAAGAGTACAGTTCTAGTTATTATAGATTTACAAGACATTATACATTGTGAATCTAAATATTGAATTGTTTTAACAAAGAGAGAAAAAAACAACAAATATATAATATACAATAAATACATGTAATAATTTAATATGAACTAGTATTTAAGTATTTACTAAAACAAGTAGTTATGACAGTAAATGAGTTTATCGGATTTTAGACTTGCCATTGAATAATTATATATATTATATTCATTAACATAAACAAATCTAGTCTTTCCAGCAGGGATTCGAAAAGTAGTTTTAAAAATATTATAAATTAATACTCATACTCCCTCCCAGTAACTTCCCAGGTTATAAAGGCAAAAATTATTTTTACCTTTCGATATAATTTAATATCAAAATCAACACTATTGATAAAAAATAGATTGAAATCTTGTAAGTTTTTTTATTTGTTTATAAGTCTTAATAGGCCAGAAAATGTCATTAGGAACTCCAAACTTCTAATAAACACTATTATTCAATATTCATACCTAACTATACTTAAAATTTAATGATGGCAATAAATTATGATTATACTACAATTTATAATAAATAATACATCATCTGCTGAATGCTGATAGGAGCTGTGAAATGGGTTTTCTTTAAACATAATACCTTTTGAAATTTTGACCAATATTCTCGAATCATATTATCTTCATCTTTATTAAATACTCTTAGTTTGATCAGAGGATTGTGCTTCTTTATAATATCCATTTTGCTTTTATTTGGTAATCTACTTAAAGTAGTCTCAATAAAATGAATTTTATTTTTCATACATTCAGGTGGTAATTTAATAACTAAATCTTTCATATCCTAGGAGAAATAAATACAAATTATATAAAGTATATACTATATACCTGACTCTGTCCCACGAGAAAATTAATTTAAAAGCCATTTTTGTGATATAACGTATGGTATTTTCTCTTTCACACGGGCTGACGTCAGCCAGCTATGGTGTGGGGATGGGCGGTAGCGACCAGTTTTGAATCGGCCGTTCTCTCGTGGGATAGAGTATAATTTATATGATATAATATTAAAAAAAAAAATTTATTTATTATAAGTTTTATACCTGTGCAGAATCAATTTTTTCAACAATTTTTTTCAAAATAATTTTTCCAATTGCTTTTAATAATAAAATATCTGATGCTTTTATTTCACATTTTTTATTTATGGTTAGGTTGATTTTATTTGACAATTGTTCATTAATTAGTTTGAAATTAGGATGATTTTTTAGTGAAGGGTCGCCATTTGTTAGATACTTTATTAAATTAAAATGTTTCAAATTTAAGTTGGTATTATTAGTTGACGATTCCTCAAAATTATTTAATTCCATGGAATTTAGCAGAGTCTTTAGTCTACTCTGGTTTTGGGAGATCATAGGCATATTAAGATTGTTAGCTATTTTATCGTGCTTTTTCCTCTTTTCAGATTCTTTAGTTGCAAGATGTTCATTATCTAAGCTATAATTAATTTCCAGTGAAGCAGTTGCTAGTGCCTTAGTATCAGAGTTATTCATATTTGACTCAATAACTTCTTCACACATTCTTTCAAATATTTCAGTACCATGCTTAGTATTTGTATGTGTTAAATTTAAACTTTTATTAGGATTTCTCTTCTTTTTCGGTTTTTTAGTTGGAACATTTTCATCATTAAAATCATTTCCCAATGAAATATCTGGCAAAGCATTCATTTCAGACATTCTTTTTAGGCTTATATTTTCAGTGGAATAGGAATCGGAATCATTAAGATTAGGTTCATTATTTTTTTCAAATGTTTTAAAATGTGCATCGTTATTGGTATTTAATTCTATTGAGTTTAAACTTTTATTATGATTTTTCTTCTTCTTAGGAATTTTAGTTGGAACATTTTCATTATCATTGCTAAAATCATTTCCCAATGAAATATCTGCCAAAGTATCCAATTCAGATATTCTTTTTAAGCTTATATTTTCTGTGGAATCAAAACCATTAATATTATGATCATTATTTTTTTCGAATGTTCTGAACTGTGCATCATTATTGGTATTTAATTCTATTGAGTTTAAACTTTTATTATGATTTTTCTTCTTCTTAGGAATTTTAGTTGGAACATTTTCATTATCATTGCTAAAATCATTTCCCAATGAAATATCTGCCAAAGTATCTAATTCAGATATTCTTTTTAAGCTTATATTTTCTGCGGAATCAAAACCATTAATATTATGTTCTTTAACTTTTTCATTTGCTCTGAAACTTGCATCGTTATTTTTTTTTAGTTCTATTGAGTTTAAACTTTTATTATGATTTTTCTTCTTCTTAGGAATTTTAGTTGGAACATTTTCATTATCATTGCTAAAATCATTTCCCAATGAAATACCTGCCAAAGTATCCAATTCAGATATTCTTTTTAAGCTTATATTTTCTGTGGAATCAAAACCATTAATATTATGATCATTATTTTTTTCGAATGTTCTGAACTGTGCATCATTATTGGTATTTAATTCTATTGAGTTTAAACTTTTATTATGATTTTTCTTCTTCTTAGGAATTTTAGTTGGAACATTTTCATTATCATTGCTAAAATCATTTCCCAATGAAATACCTGCCAAAGTATCCAATTCAGATATTCTTTTTAAGCTTATATTTTCTGCGGAATCAAAACCATTAATATTATGTTCATTAACTTTGTCATTTGTTCTGAAACTTGCATCATTACTTTTTTTTAGTTCTATTGAGTTTAAACTTTTATTATGATTTTTCTTCTTCTTAGGAATTTTAGTTGGAACATTTTCATTATCATTGCTAAAATCATTTCCCAATGAAATATCTGCCAAAGTATCCAATTCAGATATTCTTTTTAAGCTTATATTTTCTGTGGAATCAAAACCATTAATATTATGATCATTATTTTTTTCGAATGTTCTGAACTGTGCATCATTATTGGTATTTAATTCTATTGAGTTTAAACTTTTATTATGATTTTTCTTCTTCTTAGGAATTTTAGTTGGAACATTTTCATTATCATTGCTAAAATCATTTCCCAATGAAATATCTGCCAAAGTATCTAATTCAGATATTCTTTTTAAGCTTATATTTTCTGCGGAATCAAAACCATTAATATTATATTCTTTAACTTTTTCATTTGCTCTGAAACTTGCATCGTTATTTTTTTTTAGTTCTATTGAGTTTAAACTTTTATTATGATTTTTCTTCTTCTTAGGAATTTTAGTTGGAACATTTTCATTATCATTGCTAAAATCATTTCCCAATGAAATACCTGCCAAAGTATCCAATTCAGATATTCTTTTTAAGCTTATATTTTCTGTGGAATCAAAACCATTAATATTATGATCATTATTTTTTTTGAATGTTCTGAACTGTGCATCATTATTGGTATTTAATTCTATTGAGTTTAAACTTTTATTATGATTTTTCTTCTTCTTAGGAATTTTAGTTGGAACATTTTCATTATCATTGCTAAAATCATTTTCCAATGAAATACCTTCCAAAGTATCCAATTCAGATATTCTTTTTAAGCTTATATTTTCTGCGGAATCAAAACCATTAATATTATGTTCATTAACTTTGTCATTTGTTCTGAAACTTGCATCATTATTTTTTTTTAGTTCTATTGAGTTTAAACTTTTATTATGATTTTTCTTCTTCTTAGGTTTCTTAGTTGTAACATTATGACTATCCATGATCAATTTATTTTCGGACAAAATATCTGACGATGTGTTTAATTTAGGTTTTGTTATTTGGTTTAAATTTTTTCCGTAATACGAATCATTAATTTCATCATACGTTCTTTCAAATATTTGACTTTCTGTATCATGGTTTGTGTTGAATTCTATTAAATTTAAATTTTTCTTCTTTTTAGGTGTTTTAGTTGGTGTAACATTTATTTCAGACATTTTTTTTTGGCTTATATTTTTTGTGGAATCGGAATCATTAACTGCATCATTATTGTTATTTAGTTGTATTGAGTTTAAACATTTATCATGGTTTTTCTTTTTCTTAGGTTTTTGAATTGCAACATTATCATAATCCATGCTACATTTATTTTCTGATGATGTGTTTAATTCAGACTTTATTGTTCGGTTTACATTTTCTCTGAAATCAAAATTATTAATATTTTGATCATTAACTACCTCATAAGTTCTTTCAATTATTTGGATATTTGTATCATGATTGGTGTTGAATTCTATTGAATTTAAACTTTCATCATGATTTTTCTTCTTTTTTGGTTTTTTAGTTGGAACATTCTCATTATCAATGCCACAACTATCACCCAATGAAATATCGGCTAAAGCATTTATTTCAGACTTTCTTTTCCGGCTTACATTCTTCCTAGAATAAGAATCAATGGTATTTTGTTCATTAACTTCTACAAGAGTGGTGTTTAAACTTTTATTGTGCTTTTTCTTCTTTTTAAGTTTTTTAGTTGTTAAAGCATTTATTTCGGACATTTTTATTTTGGTTATATTTTCCACGGATTCAGGATCATTAATAATATGTTTATTATCTTTTTCATATGTTCTGTGATCTGCATCATTATAGTTATTTATTTCTATTGAATTTAAACTTGTTTTATCTTTTTTCTTCTTTTTAGGTTTCTTAGTTACAACATTATCATTATCCATGCTACATTTTTTTTCCAATGTAATATCTGACGAAGCGTTTAATTCAGACTTAATTATTTGGTTTACATTTTTCTTGTAATCAGGATCATTAATATTTTGTTCATTAACTTCTTCATACATTCTGTTAAATATTTCAGTATCATGATTGGTATTTGTATGTATTAAATTTAAACTTTTATTATGATTTTTCTTCTTTTTCGGTTTTTTAGTTAGAACATTCTCATTTTCCATGCTACAATTATTTCCTAATGAAATATCTGCTAAGGTATTTATTTCAGACTTTCTTTTTTGGCTTACATTCTTCCTTGAATAAGAATCAGTAATATTTTGTTCAATATCTTTTTCACAAGTTTTTTCTTCCGTATAAGTATCTAACTCTGTTGAACTTCCATGGTACATTTTCTTTTTAGGAGTTTTTTTTACAAAACTTTCATTATGTACATCATTACTAGTATACATTTTTGTTAATTCTACAAATTTAACCTTTTTATCATTATCCATTTTTGATATTTGTTTATCTTTTTCAGATTTCTGAAAAATATTTACACTTTTAAATTCATGCAACAAACTACCATTATCATAAGTATTACAGAATAAACTTAGTTTTTTAAATTGTTGGTATTTAACTCTTCAGAAGTTGTCTCGCTTAATTATTTTATTTCAGTGATTTCGTTGTTTTTTTTTTTTTGCCTGTAATGTTATAAAAATATATACATATTATTGGTTAGGTATTTAATATTCAAAATGATCACCTATTTTGTTTTTATGTTTAAATATACATACTTCTGAACTCAGAGTTTTATTTAAATTAATTGTATACTAAATATGAACTTCGAGTGAATGTTAGTAGGCATACTGTATACCAGGTGATCCATTCAATGTAAAAGACTATTATTTTTGAAAAAAAAAATTACCTAATTTTAAGTAGGTAAAAAGTAGGTTTACCTAAGTAAAAAACAATATTTTAATATTTTTTAATCACAACATTCTCTCTTAATTCCTTATTAGGTACAAAGCAAAATATTTTTTGGAGTAGGTACTTGGATAAATACTTGGATGAATTCTAGACGAGTAGTTTATGAATTATGAGATATAACTATTTAAGTATTTAAAGTTTGGATGAGTGTAGTAGAGTGTTACAAAGATATCCTCAACATTTTAGTTAGTCCACTACTCTGATCATCTAACCATGTTTATTTATTTGGTAATACTAACCAATAACTTTTAATAATTACCTAAATGAAAAAAACAATGTCCAAAAATCTAATGTTCTTAAACTGATAACTTTAATTGTATTTATGTTATCCAAATAATAAAAAGCTAGTCCACGGATAAAGTTCTTCCCATTGCGTTGTGGAATTTTAGTAATTTTACTATCAATACAGAGGGAGTAAAATTGTTTCGGGAAAAAAGGTTTTTGCTTTATTATTGTACATAGTACATTTGTAAGACGGAAACAAAACATGTGGTTACCACATCCTCTTAAACACTCATTGTTTCATTTTACTATTTCCGTTTTTCGAAAATATTTATAATACATAACTTTAAATAAGGTACCCAACAAAATAAGATTTTTGAAAAAATATATATAGGTAAGTAGCTGGTATAGGTTGGCATTTTACTTTTTTAAACTTTGTACCTTTATGGCTTTACGAATGACAATAAGGCAGTATAAATAGAAATTTTATTTTTAAAAATTGAAATTATTTAAAAGAAATACTATCAACAACGTTATTTGTTTCTATTGTTCATTAGTAATCTGGGTTTAAATTAATGAAATACAAATATTTATAATTTATTACTCACCTATAAAAAATGTATGAAGTAGGTACTTGCACCTCTAGGATGATTTAAAATGTATTTGAAATACTCAATCGTACATATTAATACATATAATATATGAATTACCTACATATAAAGTTATATCTCTGTGGTTATATCATACTCTATCACTGAACTACATAATTACAGGACATAAACAAAACTGTATAACAACGAACAAACTTACACTCGAATTTCAAATTATATCGTTCTGTCGTTCTGTGTAAGTACTAACTACTAAGGAATAAGGTTGGACACTCGGATAACTTCCCGCGACCCGCGTGGTTCTACTATCAGATAGAGTGCACAAAGTAGAATAATAGAATGCGTCATGAGTAATGACAAAATAGATAGGAGACTGGAGACCGAGACCACGGACTAAGATATTATACCACATTATACAGGACTGGACACGACCAGGTTGGAGGGTGTGGGGGGTTGACTACGAAATGTAGTACAACAGGCGGTGTTCGGGGGGGATACTTTCCTTTTAGCATTACTAGCGCCGTCTTAGTGGATACTTATAGAACTAGAACACATCATACAAATTTCTAGTTCCATAAATATCCACTAAGACAGCGTTAGTAATGCTAAAAGGAAAATATACCCCCGAACTCCGCGTCCGCCTGTTGTGATACATTTCGTAACCACAATATTCATCTCGTGTCCAGTCCCGTATATCTTAGTCCGTGCTGGAGACTGTGTTCAAGATAAGATAATATTGTTCTGTGATAGTACCATTTTAATCACGGACTAAGATATACAGGACTGGACACGAGATGAATATTGTGGTTACGAAATGTTTTACAACAGGCGGAGTTCGGGGGGATATTTTCCTTTTAGCATTACTAGCGCCGTCTTAGTGGATACTTATGGAACTAGAAATTTGTATGATGTGTTCTAGTTCCATAAGTATCCACTAGGATGGCGCTAGTAATGCTAAAAGGAAAATATCCCCCCGAACACTGCCTGTTGTAAAACATTTCGTAGTCAACCCCCCCACACCCTCCAACCTTGTCGTGTCCAGTCCTGTATATCTTAGTCCGTGATTTTAATTCGTGGATATTATTGTGATATCATACAACAAAGGGTTAGCGCATCTTACCTTTCCTAGCCATAGTTAATAGTCATAGTTCGCCTCATTTCATTGGCCGTTAAATTACTCAGACACGGTGGCGTTCCAGCAAATAGAAAACCACTACAGCGCTGCTTGTTGGACCGGTCGCTTAAATATATATTTAAACCATGGTTGGACCTTTTTAGAGGTTAAGAAATAAATATTAATTAAATATTGATCACGAAACACGATTACACAACAGTCAATAACACGATGTCACGATCACGGACTAAGAATTAAGAAATAATGTGACTACATCGTGATATTGATAAAATTAAAAATACAGTAATAACCATAGACTTTAAATAAGACTTATAATATATGGTAATAACTTGTCTATGCAGTATGCACCACGATTTAAGCATGACAAAATATACTTTGTCATGGATTTAAGATCTTAAATCGAGCTATGTACGAATGTTCGTCATATAATTATAATATTTATATAATTTTTTAATTTATCATGGTCTTGTCTATGCCTGACATGTCCAGATGTCCTGCCGTCCAAAGTCCAGACACCAACCTTAAAGTCTGTAGCTCTGTACTACAGTATCACCAAATATTGACTTATTAGTTATTATTTGCAGTAATGCCCAAAATCCGAATGCACTATATACCGATTACCAGCAGTTCTCAAATCCCAATAGATTTTATGCCTCGACTGCGGGACCCCCTATAAGCTATAATGTCGCAAACATTTTTGGTTTATTATGATGGCATTAAAAAATAGATTTTGGCGTCCCTAAAATAATTGTTGGTGATTCCCAGTTTGAGAATCCTGCAATACATATACAATAGTCCATAATATAATATATTTGCCCGGGCATGGCTCGGGCATGTGCCCAATCAAAAATTCTGACAAACACAAACACTCACGTGTAAAAACTTACCATTCCAAACCCTACCATCACCACAATACAACCCTACAAACAGGCAACAGCTAATGGCCATAGAAGCCGGGCTTAAGGATCAATAAAAAAAAAAAAATAATAATATATTTTGTCATGCCATTGGACTGTGGCAGGTCCTTTTGCCCAGAGTGGTTTCTTGACTTAGTTTTTAAACAAATAACAAAAAATCAATAATGAACTGTAAAACTCCCATCATATTTCTTAATTATAGCTTGAAAAATAAGAGAATACTATGTTATTATGTTTCCGAACCATAAAGAACCATAGATCTGATTAGAAAGAAAATAAATTGTAGCTAGTTGCTATGAATCCCGAATGAAGTCCCAAGACTTTAAATTTGCTAGGTATATACTAACTATTCTATGCTTGCTACTGTCACAAAACCGCAATTAAATTAAGATGATATATTATGTTTGGAATTGACCATTATTGGTGGTGATAAGTCACTTTTAACGTTATTTTATCTTGTGTATTATTGTAATATCTCATATTAATTAATATTAAACAAATATACATTTTGGTTGTTCCTTTATTTGCCTAGAATTATTCGTAAATCAAAAATGTTATAATAGTATTTAATGTCAAAAATATAAATACAACTTTATACCGTAATAATTTAATTATTTAAATTAATATTTATTATAAGTTATTTAACTCTTAAGAGATAACTTTACTATAAAAAAAAAATAATTCTCTATTAGGTATACAATTATACAAATATATGGAATGATTATAATATATATTATGTAAAGATTGTTCTTGTATGATATAAATTGGCCTTAGAAAAAATAAACCAGATTGATTCAGTTTTTAGTAGAAAATGTATTGGAAACTTTTTATTATTCAAGTTAATATATCTATTCAAGTTAAGAGTTAACCTTTAAACTGATGAAATCCAACCAAAATGAGTTGAGTCGTCCCAGCCCACCGCAAGCATTAGAATAGGCTGTAGCGATAGGAGAGCCATGTGCGACGGTCACCAACATTTGTGACCCATGACAGAATGACTAAAAAACATAGTGCACAACGTTCAATCTCTATGCGTGATTGGGGTTCACTCTCAACCTAAATCCAGGAAGTCGGTAATAGCTAATAACTAATAAGTAATAATCAATAAATTCTGTAAAATTAATTAAAGCACTTCCCTCAAGCTCATCTACATAGCTGCACAAACCAATCAACTAACCTTAATAAGTTAATTATTATTTAATAATTTAATCACAAAATATTAATAATCTATGTACCTATGTGCAGTACGTTAATAACTTAAAATCACATAACACACTGTTTGTATATCTTAATAAAAATAATGAAACATACAATTTCAAAGGAGGAGAATCTTAAAGAATAAAATGATTGATAAATATTATAATATTTAATACATAAAGTCTAATTTTTACTTAAATACACATTACTTTAACATCCAACAATTTTGTATTATTACTTAGTAAGTTACTTATTGATTGATACTTAACAAAAAAATGAATTATTATTGGACAAATATTTATTATTTATTAGTAAATTAAATAAACTATTTTTTTTTAGGTTCATGGATATATTGAATACACGTTAATATATTATTAGTGCTATTACTTATGAAAACATTTAGAAATTATTAGAAATTCAATGAATTAGACACCCTAAATAAATAGTTAGTAGCATAATTTTTTTTTAGTTGATTTGAGATGATTGATACCCAACTTAAATCACTTTTTTATTTGTTGAGCTTGAAACTGTTGTTGTAATTTAGTAAGTGTCTCCCTATATTCGTCTTGTTTTCCCTCTAACGTGTGTATCCGGTCATCAATTCTTTGCAACTCATTTTTTATATAACTCATACGTTTGTCGATATTTTCTTTAGCTTCTGTGTGATCTTGACGCAGTAATATAGGACCAACCATTTTATATACTTCACCTGAAGGTTTTAATAGAGCTAACTCTTCTTTGACAATTGAGTTTTCATTTAGTTGACCATCCAATTGTTGACGCATTCCAGCCAATTGATTAATTTCTTTTTGACATTGTTTAAAAGCATCCAGTTCGGTTTGGAACTGTTTCTGTAATTCTTCAGCTGCCATTTTGTAAATCTGAAAATTCAATACCCTTTAAGACACAATTATGAAGATTGATCGTAATTCGTAGTTAAGTTAAGAATTATGTGTAAATTATTAAAGTATTCTTCACTTCTTTACTAACTACTTGGTAAGTTGCACGTTTTTAAATTATTATTACTATTTAATATTTATCAATTAATGTCTAACTTCTAACATTTCACATATTATTACTGTGTGTGTTTAGATAAACTTTTACCTCTACTAATTAAATCCCCAGATGGCAGGACAGTCTCTAGATATTTGGTGGTGATAAATGATAAATATTTCGATAGTGAAGAGTAGCCAACCAAAAACAAGTTATATTTTTGAAATTCCAATTTTGTAATATTGTACAAAATAAATTATATATTGTTCTATGGTTATATCACGAATTAAGATAGTACTATCTTAATTCGTGGTTTTAGAGTAGGATATAAGATTTAAATAAACTAATAAACTTCTGAAGTCTAAGACTAAAATCACCTCAAAATAAGTAATGCTTTCAAATTTCCAAGTTCCAACTGTTCCAAGTTATATCTTACAATAGGGAGTATTTGTTTAATTGTTTATAGTTCGTGTCATACAATTATAGCTGATGTTGGAATAAGATAATTATTATTATTTTGATTAATGTTTTTTTGTTCATGATACATATTATAATTTATTGTTGAGCGTAAAATTAATTGTTATTAATTATAATATTTATATACCTATAGTTGTACTTTAATCAAAAAACAGACGTTAAGTTTTGGTTGATAAAATCTTTAATTGAGTCTGATACCTACTCAAATAATACATCATTTATTGAAATGGTTTATTAAGTTCAATTGGTTTTATTTTTACTTGTCAATATCTCAACAATCATTTAAAGCTTATAAAATGAGTAATATTTATATTCAAGAACCTCCTACTTCTGGAAAAGTAAGTGTCGTGTTATTTTTTTGAAATATTATACTGTTGAGTTTTTATTAAGGTGGATATTAATTGTATCTTACTTTAAAACTATTAAATATTTTGTTTGATTCCTATGAGTTTTAATGTCTGAGTACATTTCTTTAAATTTGTTTTCTTATAATATTATTATATCCAAGTATCTAACTCCTTTAATCTGATGCATTGAGATTCTCTAAGAATACCTATACCTAATATTAAAACAAAATTATAAATAATTATAACAGAATTGCATTTGAAATACATGTATAACATAATAATGGCAATATTATAATTTTTAAGCATTACCATATTTTATAAACACATGATATTCATATTGTCTTTAATAAGTGTGTTATTTAGGTATATAAATAAATTATAAGTATTAAAATGTATGAAATATTTATAATATAAATATTAAATATATTGCTTAAAGGTCGTGCTCAAAACTTCATTTGGCGATATTGAAATTGAATTATGGTCAAGAGAAGCTCCAAAAGCATGTAAAAATTTCGTTCAGCTGTGTACTGATGGATATTATGATGGAGTCTTGTTTCATCGTATTGTCAAAGGTTTTATAGCTCAGGGTGGTGATCCAACGGGAACTGGAGCAGGTGGAGAATCAATTTATGGTCATCCATTTAAAGTAATTATTTTATTTTATTTATTTAATTTAATGTTTATTTTCTATTTCATACAAATTAAGAAAAAAAGTGTGTTTAGGATGAAATACATTCACGTCTTCGGTTTAATCGCCGTGGTTTGGTGGCTATGGCAAATGCTGGAAAAGATGATAATGGATCTCAATTCTTTTTCACATTAGGATCTACTCCAGAACTTCAAACCAAACACACAATATTTGGAAAAGTTGCGGGTGATACTATCTTTAATTTAACCAAATTAAATGAAACTCTTGTGGATACGGTATTAAAAATTTATTTATTACATTATTAGGTTAATATACCTATAAATAGGTTAAGATTTATTGATTTTGTACATTTTATTTATAGGAAGATAAACCAGTTTATGATCAAAAAATACTAAAAACTATAGTATTAAATAGTCCTTTCCCTGAGATTGTACCTAGAGTTGAAAAAAAAACTGAAAAAACTGAAAAACTTTCAAAAAAAAAAGAAGTTGTTGGTGTCAAGTAAGTTAATATAATCATTGAAGAATCTTCTAAATATTATGTCATATTTTATAATGTGACGTAGGTATGTATTAATTGTTAAAATGTATATTTTAAGAAATTTTAAACTTTTATCATTTGGTGAAGAAGCTGAAGAGGATGAAGAAGAACTTATTGATGTTGTTAAAGAGTTTAGTGGTAGACCAAAATCAACTCACGATGTTCTTAAAGATCCTCAGTTAAGTTCAGAACCTGCTGTTATAGATAATGAACTTACAGATGATATAAATATACCTTCTAGTGATCAGACATCAAAGTAAAAATACTTTCATTTCATTTTTACACCCATATTTATACTACAGAACATAATTTATTTTATTTAGAATAAGTATTGATGATGTTCGGTCAAAGTTGTCATCTAATAGTAAAAATAAAAAAATTTTACCTAAATCAATTGAACAATCAAATGAAGAAGATTCTGACGATTATGAACTTGGCAAAGATCTAAAAGAAGAGAAAAAAAGAAAAGCGTAATTATAATTTATTTAGTATTCTATAAAGTGATTGTGATAGTATTGATATTATAAATCAATGGTGACTTTTATATGTAAAGCTTGTATCATATTGGTATACTTATTATCAAAACATATACAATTATGACCAGGGTTTGGGACTCAGCACTTATAATCATCAAAATAGACGCTGAAAAAAGCACTACAAAAAATATATCAACACAGTTTTTTTCTATATTATAGTTTAACTGTTATACTTACATTGTCAAACCATAAAAAGGTGCTCTGCTGTTCAGTAGGTTACAAGTACTGTATAACGGATGATATTAAATTTGAATTCAATGATATAATATCATTGTATAAGAAAAACGATTCTGAGTGGAGACGATATGTCAGTCTAGGTATAAGACATATTATATACTTATCTATGGTATTAAAAAAAATTGACCTATAATAGGTACCTATAATAAATTCCAAATTAATCATATCACAATATCCATTAGGTACTTATAACGCGTTATACATCAATAATAAACCGTGATACTATCATAAACATATAGTAGTATACTTAAGAAGTTTCAAGTACCCACAAATAATATTATACAATCACAACAAAATAACTAAAATAGTTATTCTAGGTTTTTTTTATGTAATTTCGTCCAAATTTGAACTTAAAATGACTATAAAAATAAACTGTGCTTATGTATTTTTTAGATTTTTTGGAAAAAGAATTAACTACTTCCGTGGAATCTTATTATACGCTTTCAATCCTTAGATATAAAAGTTGAACATTTTATGAATTTTTAACTAAAACATAATCATTCAATTTTAAATTTGATACATTTTGTCAAAATTTGATGTTAAAAACTGTGCCTATTCATTTTTAATATTTTTCAACTAATATTGTAACAATATATCAGAAGCCTTGTATTAAATTTTTACATTTTTTGGCCCAACAGATAAAACTTTATTGATATTTATAGAAAAAAAAAATAAAAAAATTGAAAACAGAAAATGTCCGTAAACAGCTAAAAAAGAGTCAAAATATTTTCAAAATTGTATGGTGTGTAGGAATTGTTTATGTAAACATTCAGTGAAATTTTCATGTGTCTACAGTTATTCGTTTTTGAATTACAACAATATAAGGAAATCGAGTGAATATCCAATGTTGTAAAAATTTGAATTTCAAACGCTCATAAAAATTTAATTTGACTTTCTTATAGAATTTTTTTTTTTGATTAAGGTAGATAATCTTATAAAGAATCTTGTATTACATTTTAAAATCTCAGATTTAAAAAGAAAAATATTTACTAATTCTTAACTCAAAATAATTTGCTAATTTTCGTGATTTTTCCATATTTTGTCAATTTTTTTAACTTTAAATGCTTATAAAAAAAAACTGTGACTACGGATTTTTATTATTTTTTATCTGCCTTTGTAACAATATACTAGGAGCCTTCTATTAAATTGTCAAGCTTTTTTAACCAACAAATAAAATTTTATTGTTATTTTTATTTTTTAGAAAAAAAACTAAAAAAAAATGGAAAATTAAAAATGTTCCTAAACAGTTCAAAACAAATCATAATATTTCGAAAATTTTATTGTGTATAGAAAATGCAAATATAAACAACCAGTGAAAATTTCATGTTTATACATTCATTTGTTTTAGAGTTACACCAATAACCAAAATCGATTTCCTCGAAAACAGATTTTGCGTAAAAATTCCCGTTTTTCATTAATTTTTCTTTTGTTTTTCACAGCACTTTTGAAAACTAATGGGAAATTTTTACTTTTGACCCCCCCAAGTACCAATTAAATTCACTTTCCTTTCAGAAAAGATACTGTTGAAAAAAATCCAAGCACTTTTACTGTCCTAAAAGGTAATAACAGGCACAAAAAAAAAAAAAAAAAATATACACATCAATATCATTATAAAATCCATACATTCATTGTTCCACTTAGAATCTAAAATAAACAAAAGCTATAAGTCCCAATTCCTGATTTTGACTAATGATGTTCAATAAAGAAATGTTTAAACTTGTATTATAATATTATAATATGCATTTTAAATATGCTTATTTTATTACTAGAGAGGAAATCCGAAAAGAAATAAACCAAATCAAATCACAGTTATCAAAAAAAAAAAAAGATAAAAAAAAGGACCTAGATATAGATGATACACCAAGTATACCACTATTGCCTATTAATCCACTTAAACAACAATATTTGGAAAATATAAAAATGTATTCTTCCAAAAAAAGTGACATTCCCAAAAAAGGTATTATCTGTTGTATAAAACTTTCATATTTTAACTTATAATTGTTATTAATTTAAAAACCCCTTATTTAATGATTATCGATTTAGGTTCAAATAGAGAAGAATTTGCTCTTGGTCTTTTAGAGAAATTTAAAAATAAACTGCATAATGCAATACAATCAACCCAAGAAAAACCTGAAAAACCATCTGAAACAGTAGAAGAAGAAGATGATGATTGGTATGTTTTTCAAATTTAATAAAATATATTAAATAATAAAAATGATTTATTTATATTTTTTTTATTTAACTATAAGCTTGCTTGTATAATGTAATTAATTAATATTATATTATACAAAATACAGGAAAAGTCATCCCCTTCAATTTCAGAAGGATGATGCTGTACTAGCAAAAGATGCAAATAAAAAAGATGATGATTGGTTTGAAATATACGATCCAAGAAGTGCTATCAATAAAAGGAAGCGTGAATTGAATAAATTAAATTCAAAAACTGACAAAGATAAAAAAAACAAAACTTTAAAATATTAAATATATACAATGTATTTTACTTTTTCTTAGGTCTTAAAATATAATTGATTCTATTGTTTTGAAATATAACAACAATTTACCATTGAAATGTTATTGTATCTTGTTAAAATAAACTCAATACGTCATGTCATACTCATTTACCATTGGACTTGGACACTCGTATCATTTTTACAAAACTTACTTGATGATTGAGTTTCTGTATGAAATTGATTTTTAATTTTACCGTAATTGGTAATCAACACCAGAGGTTCCCAACCCATGAGCCGCGGCACTGGTCTGGTCGAGGGTCTAAATCAAGGGTCGGAAAGTTTTAATTTATACTGATCGGCATCAATGTTGAGATTTTTAAATGGTTTACAGAGTGTTCAATGACTAAAGAATAGGGTGTAACAGGAAGACCTGACAAATAAAATAACTTGAGTTCTAATCAATATTTTTGAATTTTATTTTATTTATAATTTATTGTTTCTTGTTTTAGACGTATAATATAACATTTTTATTATTTAATACTGAAAATAAAAAATTTAAATCTGATTTGAGAGTTTAATTTTTACAAATTTTTTGAAATGTAATTATTTTTGTTAAGTAATGTTGATGCAGTTGTAAAAAAAACATTTCAAATTCAATAAGTATTAACTTTTTTGAAATATTTTTAGAGTACTATTGAATAAGTAATTGTTAAAATCTAAATATTTTTTTTTAAGTTATTATTTTTCAAATAAACGAGTCTTCATAAAATCTGCAGGACATTTTTAAAAATCCAAAAAAAAAATTAAACTACATGACTAAAATAAATCTAATATTGAATACCTAATAATTATAAATTAAGTAGTAATTATTATATACTTTGTTTATTAGAACCGATATTTAATGTGTTGGCTTTATTGGCATGTCACAGGTCAATACAATAATCATGACAGATGAGGTTATCGATGAACTGAGCATCCAAAAAAATAGAAAACTGGATTTTGTATTATAACAATATTTTTTGTTTATCGTATTAAACACGGGATTGGCGCTAGCATGAATTTATAATAAATGCTATTATTAGGCACTATAGGTACATTCTTATTACGCCTTGATCCACTCGACCACACTAACCTCAATAGATAACAAGTTAGGGGATTATAAAAATGTATATTATGTACGTATTTAATATTTATCGATGTATTATTATAAATTTCATCCCCCCTAACAAAATTCCTAAATACGCCACTGGATACGCATGTCTGTGACTTAAGCATTTTTACAACAGGTGGAGTCATCGGCTATTGCGGCAGTGACGCCGGTGGATCTAATAAAAGTTAAACGGTGGAGCCGCGGAGGAACTATAAAAGTTAACCATTTTATAAAATCATTTTTAAATTTTAAATTTGTTGTCAAAATTTGAACTTTAAATTCTTATAACTCGCATCTAAAACAAAAACGTAAATTTGTGAGCTCTAGACTGCATCTTCTGAGACCCCTATTAAAATCGAAACTTTCTCTAGCCAACAAACTTACGATATACAAATCGATAATTCATCCGGCTTGGCTTTACAGTATCCAACTATGGGGGCCAACAAAGCCATCAAACACTAAAACCTTGCAAGCATTCCAATCCATATGCCTACGCTTAATAACCTCTGCCCCTTTCCCATTGGTATATAACCAACCATAAAGACCATAATAACCATAATAACCATAAAGACCTTAATATTCCAAGTTTTAGGCCCTCAACGACTTAGCCAAATCTCATTACATAAAATTTCACTCAAAACTTCAAGCTCATTCAAACTCACTAATTAAAAATCTATCCACTACCTCACTCATTCCTAGAGGTTAAAAAGAAAATGGCCAAGAGACCTGCTCAATGGTTTTTAAAAAAAAAAAACAACCTAATTTCTGGTCAGGTGGCACTGCTGCGGGAGCCTTCCTATTAATGTTATTTTATGTCTAATATTCTTATGTCACCACACTTACTCATTTTACCTTTTCTGTTGTATGAATTGTAAATATAAATTTTAAAATAAAAAAAAATTATGTACCTATTATAAAAAAAAAAAAATATGCTTATAAAAAAACTGTGACTAAGGATTTTTAATATTTTTCAAATGTCATCGTAACAATATATTAGGAGCCTTGTATTACATTTTCAAGCTTTTTACCCAACAAATAAATGTCAGTATACAGCTCAAAAATAGTCAAATTATTTTCAAAATTGTATGGTGTATAGAAAATGCTAATATAAACATTCAGTGAAATTTTCATGTACCTACAGTAATTCGTTTTTTAATTACAACAAAATAAAAGAAAATCGTTATATGAGAAATCGAGTAAATATAGTAAATATTCTTGTAGACATTTTTTTTTTTTGGTAAAAGTAGACACTAGACAAACTTATAAGGAATCTTGTATTACATTTTAAAACCTATTAGATTTAGACAAAAAAAATTTTTATGAATTTCAAACTCAAAATAATTTGCAAATTTTTGTCATTTTTAAGTATTTTGTCAATATTTGAACTTTAGATTCTTATAAAAAAAAATTTAACTATGGATTTTAAATTTTTTTCATCTGCCTTTGAAAAATATAGTAGGAGCCTTCAATTAAATTTTCAAACTTTTTGACCCAATGAACAAAATTTTATTGTTTTGACATTTATAGAAAAGAAAAACTAAAACATTGGAAACTGAAAATGTCCGTAAACAGCTCAAAGAAATCAAAAAATATTTTGAAAATTGTATGGTGTATAGAAAATTCTAATATAAACATTCAGTGAATATTTTGTAAATCCAAGGTCATTTGTTTTAGAGTTGCACCAAAACCCAAAATCGATTTTGTCAAAAACCGATTTTGAGTAAAAATTGCCGTTTGTCATTAATTTTTTTTTGTTTTCCTAGCGCTTTTAAAAACTACTTGGAATTTTACATTTTGGCCTCTTCAATGAACAAACTAGCTAGATTCACTTTCTCATCAAACAAGATACTTAAGTTGAAAATCGAAGCATTTTTATTGCCTTAAAAGGTGATGACACACACAAAAATAAATAAATAAACACACATCATTGTAAAATCAATACATTCATCGCTTCACCCAGAATCTAAATATGTCACATACGAATACCAGGTAGATAAAAATATTAAATAACCCAATAGTTATTGCCGTCTACCGACCACCCGATGATGAGTTAAGTTCGATTAGTTCGAATGAAATTAAAGGTATAATATATTATTTGGCCGATTGAGTAAGAGTCGGAATTTTTAAGTCGTTGTGGTCTGTAGGGATTATTATTTTTGATAAGCAAGGAGCACAGACAATTTGACGAGGGAAAGTCGATTGGAAAGCCAGGGAATTGGGCTGCTGCCTGCATCCGAGTTCTGTCCCATATATAAAAATTGAATTCAAAGATAAACTAGTTCCATCCCGGGGGTTTTATTAGGTATACCAATTATTCCGTCACATGTCAAATCAAATCTAACAATATCATATTAATTATTATTTAGAAATATAGTTCTCAAGTTGGATAAGGGTTTGCAGATAGAGCACCGTCCAGGATGCGACAATAAATAATATACGACTACATAATATGTCTACTCATCAAGCAATTTAAATTTTCCTATCTATTACAGTGGTATCAACTGCAAGTTTATGCGTTTAGCAGTACCCAAACCTTAAAAAGTAAAATTATGAATAATACTATACATATACTGTACCTATACGTTCATACCTATTGCTATTATTTGTAGTTTGCACCTTGTATACATGTTAAAATTATAATTACATGTAGGTAATATTAGGTACACTTAAAATATAATCCAATAACACAGATATGGTTTTAATATCTACACTTATTGCGTTGTTTAAACAAACAGGCAACAACTATAAAATACAATAAGATTAACGAGGACCCAGTTTATGATGAGCGCCAAAGCGGCTATTTACGACTTAGTTCAATTTAAGAATCGTTAACCATGGTTGGTCGTTGGTCGGATAGTCAATTTACGGTTTGTTCCGAAGATTCTTTCATTAGTGAGTACCACCTACCTACCTAAATAAAACTTTATTTTGAAACTAATAAAACATAGTTGCAGTAAGTACTACGAAATATGTGTAGGCACCGATATAATATAATTCCCCATAGACTTTAAGTATAGGTAGCTGTTTAAGTATTTTACTCGATTGATTTTAGTTGAAAAATATCAACATTTATTGCAAGTGTGGGTACCTACCTATGACAAATAAAGATCCCAAATATAATGCACATTTATTCATATTTATGCATATCTATGTGACCATAGATGGCTAGATATGTAATATTAAAATCTATGAAAAACTTAACTATGGAACAACTTTTTTTTTTGTTTTTCCTTACTACTTAGTACTTATATTTATAGTTGGCAGTTTAAAGAAGTCATAAATAATATACAAATAGAAGGCATACATATTGAATATATTAGGAAAAATAATAAAAGGAAGGTATAACTGCCTAATAAAATCTTTATAATAACTAGGTAATAAATAATAGGTAGGTAACTATTAATAAGTAATATATTATACATATTACATATTACCTATACTGTAAATTGTAATAGCACTTATTACAATTATATGAAATTACATTTGTCGGGTTCGTAGATCTTGAAAAAAAATATTTGTTTTGTTTTCAATGGATATTGGATGACAGGAATACAGGAATACAGGATGAGCTATATACTACATAAACAGTATACTATATTACTATTAATTTAGGTACCTACTATATAGGTATATTGATATACTTTAAGCGTTATACGTAGGTATAGTTTATTTAAATATTTATACAATATAGGGTATTTTCTATGGTCGACAGTCTAGAGTCGTATATATAATAATATAATATTTAGTAAAATGTTTCTAAAAGTTTCTTAGAACTTTATTTATAAGTTATAAATTAAAATAACAATGAATTTTAAAATATCAATTAAAAATATATTTTTATAAATGCCTATGGAGTTTGTATTGTAGTATTTATATTATATGAATGACCTATGTAACCTACATGATTTAAAGTTCCATTGTTTAAAAATAAAAAGTGATATTATAGTTGTAATATAATTGTCTCAAGACTCTCAACTCTCAGATATATGCCTAACTACAATCTTCTATATAACTCTATTCACTAAATCTATTTTTGAAGTGCCAGAAGAAAATCTATAAAAAGTAATCAAAAAATGCGTTGGCCAATTTTTAAGTTTTTTTTTTAACTTTAGTTAAAAATAATATCTGAAAATTAAATTCTTTAAAATTAAATAGGTGTACAAAAGAGTATCATTTTATATTTCATAAAATAAATCGTTAATTGATTGAAAGAAATATATTTAAAGGTTTAGTTTAATACTATGACAACAATTAAATTTATTAGGTACCTAATGCTGTTTTAAAATCTTATCTGTTTATAAATATTGTTAAAGTAATATGAATGTCATTATAAAATAGTAGTTTATGTAGTTATGTACGATGTATAGAAACATTTTAGGCTGTAACCTGTAAGTAGGTACTCAGTACTCATACATTTCAATTAAAAATATACCTATATGATATTTTTTCTATATTGATAAGTAAATAAAACAGTTTTACATTTTTATTCATTGCACTTGATGCTACAAGTTGCATCGTGTCATCGTGATAGGCGCTATAGGTATGGTAGGTACTATTATGGACAATAGCCTTAGGACAATAATTACCATGTATTGAGCACCTATACTGGTTGAGTGTTGGCAATAGAGGACAGTTGAATCAATTATATCATGTTTCTACTTTCTTGCTTTCTTGGACAAAACAACTTAACAACCTATAATAATAACATAATAATAATCCTATTATAATATTCGTGTCTTTAGGTTTATGAGAGTATTGGACTAAGAGTGCTACCAGATTATAATAGACAGACAGAAATACATAATATAAGATGTGTACAAATAATGTAATGGCTATCAATATATATAATTGAAAAATATAATGTAGGTACCTCCCATAATACACGCTTACGTATTAATAAAGGTTAATATTATTGCATTTTTATGCATAGAATTTATAACCGGACAATAAGTATATAGGTTAGGTTAGGTAAAACGGGAATATTCAAATAAATAAAATGAAAAAATACGAATAAACGTATACCTATTTTTTTCTGTCGATGACAAACTATTTTCAGTTTATTTTACCACCTCTACATCTAGGCTGCTTAAATCTAGCACATTATTAAAATTATTTAATACATTTAAATAACAGTACCTACTATACGTTTATTAAAATAATCTGTTATTGGAATTTATTGTTACCTTGATATTATAGACGTATGGACGTTTAGTTGATAGTATTTATCATATAATTATATACCTACTATAGTCTATAATATATACAATATACATAGAACATTTTATCAATAATTCCTTTATTTTTGTATCACAAAAAAATAAAAATAAAATTTTAAATAAATTTATATACTATGGATTTGTATCTAAATGTTGTCCAACTGTCTGAGTATGCAAAAATAAAAATTGAATACATAATCATTTCATTTTAAATAGAAAAAATATCAAATATAAGTATCAACTGTAGGTATAGGTTAATATAGTTTATTATAATTATTTGACCTTACATAAAATAATCTCAACTTTTACTAAAGCCATCAGAAAATATAAAATACATATATTTTAAGAGACGAAAAATAAACGAATAAAAACGTGAGGTATTTAATTAGTTATTTTCAATAACTATGCACTGCACAGTATGTGGCACATGTACGTCTATACTCTATAGTTTATACAGTCAATCAATTAAGTAGGTACCTATTTTGGTTTAAAATAAAATATTATATGTTTTGAACAAGACAAAAATGCATAAGAGTTAAGCAACAACAAAATCAACGGGCAGAAAGGAAATGGGGTTATTTGGGGACTTGTTTAAGCTAAAATTTTGATGCACGCGGAAGTATACGTGTATTAAAATGTTAGCTTAAATCACTGACAACTTTCAGATTGAGTCCCACTGTCCTTGAATAAACGACGCCCCTACACAGTTTTTTTCCCCGATTGGTGATCCATAATATCAAAAAATAATACTCATTTATTATATGTATTTGATGGAAAGGTAGGAGGACTGGACACATCATACATTTATTTAAAATTAGAAAAGATTTTAGCAATTATTTTAATTATTATTCGTAATAATTATCCTTTTCATAAGACGGGGCCCCCGCACACTCACGGATATTGTTTTCGATTTATTCAATGATAATTACTTACTAATAATACCTATACCTAAATAGAAAATGAGACATATAATTGTGACTATAGTTCAGACCTAATAGAGAACGCGTTAACCCATGGGTCAGAATTTTACGTTCATAATAATCCATTTTAAGTATAATATTAGTACCTATTTAGAATTTATAAATTATAATCAATGATTGTACTCTCTTATTATTTTAATATTAGAGTAAATTGATCTATTGTCAAATTTAACGGTATAGGTATTTCTAACATACCTATATCGTGGACATTTTAAAATATCAAACATGTGATAATATAGACTTTAAATTTTATAATAGATATTTAAATATTTTACTCTAATATTAAAAATAACAGAGTAAAATGGATTACTAGTAGAACCAACAATTAGAGTAGGTAACAGATTTTCTACAATTTTAATTTAGGCCAGGTATCTACTAAAAGTTGTACGTTTGCACTTTGCAGTAGGTATACTGATGGCCAAGACTATAGCTTATAAAAATACCTTAGTATAAGCCGATCTATGGTTAAATTAGTATACATTTATACTATTTGCTATGGCTATACACTTATACTGATTTTGATGAGCGGAGAAAGGAAACTCGCAGTATTCAGCTTGGGCCGTCCTCTGATATAGTGGTATATATATTCCCACTATCCTATAACGATGCTCTTCTTCATAGATTGCATTTTGATGGATCCATGCCTTTTGCTGTAAATAATTCAATTAAATTATATATATTTTGTATACGAGATATTCCAAATATATATGTTATTAATTACAATACTGTTCTCCGACACTGCAGTATAGACTACGAGTCATTCAGGTTCTGGATAAAATGGGTCTTCATGTGCTCAAAATATTTAAATTCTATAAAAACAAATGGCTAAACATAAAATAGTAAAATTAAATAGATAAACAATTTTGAATATTGATAAAAAATATAATGTAAGTAAAGATGTTGGAGATTATATTTAGGTATATGTGTAATAGAAAAATTTAACATTGTACAAATATTTCAAGTCATAAAGTAAAAATTATACATTTTTTAAGTATATATAATATATATAAAAAAAAAATGATAAATAATTGTAATTCAAACTGATACAACTAATTACATGAAACACTTTATACATTTATCTGAAAATGTCTATTTAGTTTGCACATAAATCTAATATCGTCAAATAGTTTATTAATACTAGCTATATAATATAATTGAAAGTTTTTATAGATGATTGGAGAGGAGTGAAAAATTCTTATCTCTAAATAGATTAGGTACCTACCCTTCATTACTCCTCCCAACGCAAGAGAGCAATAGTTTTTTTTTTATATACCGTCACCAATGTCATAAAATTATTGATTTATGCATATATAAATATTTAAAAAGGGCCATATGCTACTTGATAAATATGCTACTTGAAATTAAAATTATAGATTGCCAATTTAAATAATAATTATAAGTGGAGACTATCGAACCTTGCATTCCCCTCTCAATTATTACATCAAGATCAAATAACTAAAAAAATTTAAAATACGGATTCTTTTGAATCTATTTTTTCAAAAAAACCGGGAAAGTCTCCCTGCTGTATAGTATAGTGCCTGTAGTCATATCTATATACCTATCGTAATTGAGTATTTGAGTAGATCGCACTATGCCACTATATAATGTATGTCTCGTGTAGTCGGGTAGTCGTGTGGGTTAAATTTGATTTAATTATTCAACGATTCTGAAAATACATTATATAGTATTGGTAATT